TTGTTGGTTGAATAATGTTGTGATGAGAATTTTTGTTGTTGTTGTTGTTGCCGTTGTTGTTTTTTTCCTTTTTATTTAATTTCCAAGTAATCAACAATAATTTTGAGATGATTAATTGAGGGAAAAATTATGGTCAATTTTTTTCCACTACTAGAATCTAGAATCTGATATGAATCTGATTTTCATTATTAACACTCTGTTGTATATGTAAATGATGAAATGTATGATTTTTTTTTTGGTTATTTTGTAATTGATTTTTCTTTTTTTTTATCATTTCTGGTTAAACGACGACAACGATGGATGTCATTGATGATGATGATTTTTTTTTTTTTTTTGGTTTGAAGCAATTCACAATAACAACAACAACACCATAAACATTATCATCATCAGCAATAGCAGCCGATATTATATACAATATTGACGTGTTTTTTTTTTTTGGTTTTGTTTTTCGGGTTCGAAGGTCGACCATGGCCTACTTTTTTTTCTGGTTTGCTTGCTGGATGAAACGCTGTTGTTGATGATGTATGCATGTGCTTACATTCTGTTTTAGTTTTTTTCTCTAGTTTTTTTTTCTTCTTATTTTTTTTGTTGTTGTTCTGTATATTTGGCGGTCGGTCGATTGATATGGGGGAGGCGAATGCGTGTTTGTGTTCACCAAAAACAAAATAGAGGTTAATATCATTCCTATCATCATCATCATCCTCAACAACATCATTTTAACATCATGTGACATGCGCCTTAAATGATAAAATTTGTTCCTTATTTTTTTTTCTTGGTCTATGACGATCCAGAAAATTGTAAAATTTTGTTCCGGGAACAATTTTATGCTATATAGAATTTCATTTTATATATAACAGAATCGTGAAACAAAAAGCAACCAGTTGTGTGTGTGGAAGAAAAAAATTTTTGGAAAAACAAATCTTTATGATGAGAATGTCACTGGTACACGAACTTGAATGCAAAATCAACACAAAATCAGAAACTCACGTAATCCATTTTTGCAAACGTGAATAAAAAAAAAAAATTCTTTTCACGCATGATTGTTATGTTGAAAAATGTATGGAATCTGAAAACGAAACCAGAGAAAAAAAATGCTTCTATAAATGAAAATGATTTATCAATTATTACTTAAATCGAACCATAAGATTCGACCTTTGAAGACCTTGAACCTTGTATATACAATAATGTTTGACCGTAATGGTGATTTTAGCCACATAGTAATATTCTTGAAAAAAAATAAACATATCTTCTCTCTCTCTCTCTCTCTTTCTTTTATTTTACACTAAAAGAAAGTGACAAGGTCATAAAACATTTTTTTTATTTTTCTGTTCAGGTCATTTAAAATCGATTCAAATAAGAAAAAAAATGTTATATAGGCAATAAAGGGCTAATATATATATATATATATTGGTCATCCAATCTTGTCTTTGTCATGAGTTGTCACCATTTTTTCATATATGAAAACAACAAAAAATGTCTTCATTTATCGCGTGTGTGTGTATGTGTGTGTTGTTTTCGGTGTTTTTTTTCTCTAAGCAATTATATCTTTTAGCTTAAATAATGTCGACACCCGTGTTAGAAATAAAAAAAAATTGTACAACAATGTATCGCATGTTGCTATTTATTAGAAAAAAAAAAAAAAACTAAAATCTTCTTTTGGATCGTTGTCGTTTTTTTCAGTTTATTTTTTTTTGAGTTTTGCCATACAAAACAAAACAGCAGCAGCAGCCGCAACGATGACAAGGACATCATCATTTGAAATGGATTTGGATATTGCAGCACCATTCTGCAAAAAAAAAAAAAAGAAAACGACGACAACGATGATAACAACAATTTTTTTTATATAGTGAGGAAGGATAAAAAAATGCACATTGATGAAATGCCAAAAAATCATATTATCATTTAAAACAACGATGGTAATGTGATGTGATGTGTGTGTGATGAACGAGGTGAATGTCCGCTGATGAGGACATCATTATTATCATCATCATCATTAATTGAGATTGGAATTTGTGTTCGAGAATTTTCCTCGGAAACCATATCATTTGTATTATATTTAGATTCTTATCTGGTCAATTTATGGGAACTTTTTTGTTTGAGGGGAGATGAAAAACATATTTCGAGATTGTTGATTGATTCTTGAACAATCGATAGAAGAAACTGTCACAAAGAGTTGCTGATTCAAACTAAAACTTTATTAATAATAAATGTTCAACAAACAATGAAAATACAATACATGGAAATCATTCATATATGCAGTGATTAAGAAAATATATATTAATTATGTTTTTATATTAACATTAAATGAATTTTGAATTTGGATTTCCCAGAAAACCATAAACGGTCAATAAATCTACTTTGTTAATTGATGCTACAAAACCATCATCAACATACAGGATGAGTAAGATCAATCGATTTTCGATACGTTTAAAATACAAACAATTATCCAATGCACTGATTCACAAAACCAAATTCAGTAATTGCACTCATGAAATCACGTTCATTCCAGGCGCACGTGGTGCTTGCTTCAATCCGTAAAGACCACGATTCAATTTCCACACTCGACCAGATCCATCATCATAGCCACATGGTTGATATGGTCTTTGAAAATATCTTCTTTTGAAGACCATTTAAGAATGCAGTAGTGAAATCAAATTTACAACAATTCCATGTCATATGATGCCACAATACTAAGAACCATCGAACCATCAAACGAAAGTAACCGGCGCATATGTATCAAAATAATCAACATTATGTTGTTGTTGAAAACCACGAGCGACTAAACGCGCTTTATAACGATTGGAATTTGTGTTCGAGAATTTTCCTCGGAAACCATATCATTTGTATTATATTTAGATTCTTATCTGGTCAATTTATGGGAACTTTTTTGTTTGAGGGGAGATGAAAAACATATTTCGAGATTGTTGATTGATTCTTGAACAATCGATAGAGAAACAAAGATACCTTGATTATGGATTGTTGTTGTTGTTGTCGATAGAGTTACCATGACCATGTAATTTTAATTTTTGAATTTGCAAATTTTTTTTTTATTCTTTTCATTGTTGTTTTTGTTGTTATCATTATAGAATAATATAATTTCCGTATAATAAGTTTTTTTCGATTGTCGAAATGAAATGAAACCTTGTGATCTGTGTGTGTGTGTGTGTGTATCTTTAATTTTTCAATCACTATTGACATTTGGTCAACAACAACAACATTGACCTTCAACCTGACTTGAAGCTTGAATAGCTACTACTACTACTAGTGTGATTCTTTCTGATAACCGACCTTTTTTGAAAAAGGCCGTTATCACCTGTAGATGATCGGTAATGAAAAATGTCGTTCCATGGAAAACAAAATGGAAAAAAGTCTTTATTTTTATTCCAATAGTAAAAAACCCAATATAGCACCCTTGTCATTTATATGGTCTAATGTTGTGCATGGGTGATGTGGTTATTGATTGTTTTTCCTAAGAATCAATCATAAACAATGATAAAAAAAACAACCAATTCATTGGAATATGAAAATTTGACCCAGTTTTAGAATGGGCGGTGACCAATCGGATATAAAAATCAATGATAATTTGCATCTGAAAGAAATACAAATAAAAAATAAACCTGTAGCTAGCTGTTTTTTTTACCTGGAATTATTGACTATTTCGCAATTTTTGTGAATATATACAAAACGGTGTATTCCATGGAACAATTTAATGATGATCAAAAAAAAGACAAGGTTAACAAGGTTAACTCGTTGCCGACAAACAAACAAACGAAAAAAAAACAACGCTAGTAGTAGTGGTGGTATGTATGTAATCTAAAAAAAAAATTATTAAAATACAGGTAGCGATAAAATAAAAACAAAAATACATGGACAGTGATTTAAACGAATGAGAAAAACAATATACATTGAATGAAAATATGAAACATTTTTTTTTGTAATAAAAAAACAAGCGAGAGAGAGAGAATGAATTAAAATGAAATCAAAATGACCGACAAGGTCATTTTATTGTGAAAAAAAATGTTCACATTTGTCTATTTGAATCTCAAATACAAATTTTTCAAATTTTTTCGATTTGATCATCATCATTCAACCAGCTAGCAAATATATGATTGGAGTATAATATGATGATGAATACATCGACATTGCGACATTTTTTTTTTTGTTGTTGTTGTTGTTGTTGGCAACATTGAAACAAAAAAAACAACAAAACAACAACTATTTTTTGAACGATCTTGAACCTATCATGAAATTGTTGCTGCTGCTGCTTCTGTTTGAATGAAAATCCATTACATTTTTTCATTTCGATATATGGATTTTTCCATCCATATACAGCAAATACACCCCCTTGAACTTTTTTTTTGCATGTTGTGATTAGATTTTTTTTTTTTTGGTCAAGGTTTTTGTCCCAAAAAATAAGTGAGTGACCGTTTAATAATGAATAAATGAATATATGATGATAATGTTGTATGATGATATGCAAAATATATCATTTCCGTATATATTGATCATATTGATTCTAATTAAATTTGAAATTTAGTGCTACAAAAAAAATTTTCATTTCATTTCATTTATTGACCAATACTTTTCAAGTAATTTTGAATCTACAATGAGAATTGGATGATTGTTTCAATCTTGAAACATATAAGCAAGGACAATTTTTTTTATGAGTACAAATAAAATGTAAGAAAAAAAAACTTACACACACGCGTGCAAAGCCAGGTAAATTTTGACTGTGTAACTACCTGTTTGTTTGTTCGTTTGTGTGTGTGTGTGTGTGTGAAAAGCAAAATCTTAATGAATGAATACGACAGTAAATACAGAGATAGAGTTCAAGGAAACACACATCCTTCATTTGTTTGTATTAAAAAAAAAATTCGTTTCTTTTAACTTCGTTTGTTTTGTTTGATTGTTGTATTGATTTTTTCTTTTCATTAACAATGATGAATTTTTCTTTTTGAAAATAAATAAAATATAAATAATATGCTGAGTGTTAATTGTAACATTCACAATTTATAAACTTTATTTCTGGAATTGAATTATTGAATAATAAATTATAATTACAATGATTAAAAATAGATTACGTACCATACGATGGTATCGTTTTTAAATTCACAAAAATCAAATATCAAATATCATCAATATCAATATAATTTGACAAACACTCATCACTCACTGACAAAAGTTCGATACATGTGTTTTTTATATTTTATCTTCATTCATATATGACGTTCCGCTACAATTCTCCCGCCGAGAATGCGTTATCCAAATCAAACGATTCGTTGGTCTCCACAATTCTGTTCCATTAATTCGTATTTTTACAGTACGACATATGCCATCAGATCCACTCTTGACTTCCATTACTTGTCCAATAGGCCAATTAGAACGTTTAGTCAGAAATTCAGGCAACATTAACCAATCACCAATTTGCACATCTGTCGATTTGTTAGTTGACATTCGAGCCAATTTCTTCAGGTATTGGGACATCCACAATTTGGCAACTTCTTTAACAAATTTTGATCTCTCAATTTTCATTTCCCATACGTCGTCTATATTATTTTCTTGTTTTAGATTCATGGTACGACCCATCCATAGTTCAAAAGCAGAGAAAAAACGACCATCATTTTGTATTATCGGTCGTTGGTTAATCACATATTCCACGTAATTAAAATTTCTTTGCAAAGAAAAAAGAGAACGAGCCCTTTTTGGCAACATTTTCAAGCATTCCTTTACCAATCTAATCATTCGTTCGGCTGCACCATTCATCCATGGGGCCAATGGTGTTGACGTTTTCCAATTAATAGCATTTGTTTGACCAGAACGGGCCAATTTATTCAATTTTTCACGAACAGCCATAAAATTGGTTCCGTTATCCGACCACACTTCCGTCGGGTATCCAATCTGATTCCACACGGTTCTCAAAGTATCATATAACGAATTTTCGGACAAATTTTCGAGAACACTAACTTTTACCGCTTTTGTTGTTCGACACATAATAACAATTCCATAGCATTTTTTACCATTAGCAATACGACAGTAAATACATAGATAGAGTTCAAGGAAACACACATCCTTCATTTGTTTGTATTAACAAAAAAAAAATTTTTTTCGTTTCTTTTAACTTCGTTTGTTTTGTTTGATTGTTGTATTGATTTTTTCTTTTCATTAACAATGATGAATTTTTCTTTTTGAAAATAAATAAAATATAAATAATATGCTGAGTGTTAATTAATAAATAAAATAAAATTAATTAATCAATAATCAGTCAATCAATCAAATATTGTCAAGATCAAATCGTTTCATTCATTCATTCATTGATAGCCATTGTTCTCTCTCTCTCTCTCCCTGCTACTGATGTTGTGTTTTTTTCAACTTTCTTTTTCTCTTCTTCATTAATCAATCATCAATCTTCAATTTTTTTTTCTTCAATTTGATCATGATGTTCTTCAATGAGAAATTTTCCTAGTTTTCGCTTGTTGTACAAAAGAGAGAGAGAAATAACAACAACAACAACAACAAAATTTGAACTCCCTTGACCGTAAACCCTTCCTGTATGCATGTGTTGTTTGTATGTTTGTTTATCATTCATCGCCATTATCATTATTCATTCATTTTATTATTATTATGAACAATCTGGCAATGGCAATGCATATGTCAAACACGGATATTAATCCAAAAAAAAAAAAAAAAATCAAACATTTCGAACAGTATCGATAGTCAGAATCGATTAATCGATGGAAGAATTAATTTTCCTTGTCAAATTTACAACAAATGAAAATAAAACAGAAGAAAAAAGAAAAAATTCAAACTATCAATTGTCATTGGAAAAAAAAATGAAATTTTTTTTTTTTTTTCGTAATCGATTGTGAATGTCATGTGTGTATGTCAACATCATCATCATCATCATCATCAATGTTCCACAATAATCAAATGATGATGATGATGGCCATTTCTTTCTTTGGTTATTGTTGATTGCACCATTAAAATTTGTCGTAATAATAAACAAGACAAAACAAAACAAAACAAAATGCTGAAACCTTTGACCTTGATGTCATTAGAATGTTTTTTTTTAATTTATCATTTGAGTGATACCTATGATACCTATAAGATATTAATAAATCTATAAATCAACTAATTAGTTCTGTGCATTGGGAATTTTCTGGAAAATAAAAATAAAAATTTTTTCAAACTTCAAAAAAAATTCTGTAGTTTTGTTTGCTCTGAATAATTTGTAAAGGGGAAAAAAATTTTCATCAATGAAAAACAAAACATGAAATGAAATCATTGTCGATCATTGTCAATGAAAAATAAATAAATTGTGTGTGTGTGTGTTTGTTGTTTGTTTGTGCAACAAGTCATTGGTTGCGATGATGATGATGATGGTAAATATCGCAATGGCAAAACAATTCTGTTTGCCACAATGAACATATATTATTACAGGAGACTAAAATTGACGAAAATGAAAAGTGAATGAAAAAAAAATCAAATCAAAATATGGACTTTCACAATAACAACAACAACAACAACAACAACACGTGTAGTAATGTTTCTATGAATGAATTTTTCTATTTTCTTTTCTTATGGAAATTTACACACACACATATTTTTTCCTTTTATTTTTTTCAACAAAAATGAGAAACATATGCAAATGAAAACAAAACGAAAAAAAAAAAAAAATTTCAAGTTCAAAACAAAAACAAAAGCAATTTGTTAGATGATAAAAATTTAACAAAATAAAAAAAAATTCCAAATAAAACTTTCCCGGAACATCCGTAAACATATACCACCACATTATGCTTGTTTCCGGATCTTTTTTCCTGTTGTTATCGGTAAGAATTTTTTTTTTTTTTTTTTCAAAAAAAATGCAATTGTCGTCATCATCCCATAAAAAAAAAAAAAATACAACTTAATGGTGGTGGCAGCATTGTATTGTCTACAATTTCAAGTATCACACGAATCCAATATATCCGTTTGATGGAACCAATAATAATAATAAAAAAAATTGGTTTGGAAGAAAAAAAAAATTAGGCAGCCACCACCATCAGCACACCACCAGCATTATCATTACCCCGCGCGTGCAATACACACATATACATTGACAATTGGAGATAAAAAAAAATAACATATAGAAAAGAAGAACAAAGAAAATTGCCTTGTAAAAACTTTCGTTGCAATACACAACACACACACACTATAACTGTACTTTTTTGTACAATTTCTCTGTGCTTTTTTTTGGGAGCCATGAAAATGAGGCCAAATGTGAATGAACGGATTGAAGGAGGAAGGGATATTTCTCCATCATCATCATCATCATCATTCGTTGTTAATGTTGTTGTTGTTGTTGTTGTTGTCGTCGTTTGCTGGCTTTTGTGGCTTGATAGATGGTTGGTTGGTTCATGTGTATGTGAACATATAGCATGAGTTTTTCTATATGCATGTATCCTGTGCGTGTGTGTGTGTGTGTGTGTGTGTGTGTATTGCTTTATAAGTTCATGTCTATGATGACGTAAATTTTTTCGATTCTTTCGTATTTTTTTTCTTTTTTTTGAATTTCTGTTCTGTTTTCGGAATAATTTCTGGTAAATTTTTTTTTCTGGAATTATAAATTTCAGAAAAATAAAACAAACCAATGGTGGAAAAAAAATGAAAACAAGGTCACGATGTATGATGTTTTCCAAGCAGCAGTAGATGATTGATTTTTTTTTCTGTTTCATTTTAATGATAATTCTATTCATATTGTCAATGGTTAGGCTGAATTATCTATAATTATTGCTATGATTATTGATTCATTTGAATCATCATCATTCTTCAATTTAATTATTGAAAAAAATGGCTATAAATAACCATGAGCATACATATACCCGTTTCAATTTTTTTTTTTTTAAAAATACCATGAAATGATCAAAAAAAAAAAAAAAAATTCAAAGAGATCATCAAAGCAAAGTCACTAACTTTCTCTTTTTTTTTGTTTCTGATTTTCTCTGTGTGTGTATGTTATTCACTATGTTCTCTTGTGTCTTTGTATATTGAAATCATTGACATCATCCATTTTTTTTTTTTTTTTTCATTTCATTCATAACCGGTTCAAAAGAAAAAAAAATTTTTTTGAACTTTCTCATCTCACCAATAATAAATCGGGTATATAAATAAATATACATTACGGTTGTTGATCGAGATCCATCCAGATTGTTTCATTCCATTGATGATGATGATGATGATGATGAAAACGAACACACATGAGAATGACAATCAATCAGAAGAAAAAAAATATTCAAACTTATCTGCACAATCAATCTTTGTGCCAAAAAAGGTTTTTCTCTTAACAGGTAAATTTTTTTTTTTTTTTTACCTGAATGATGATGATAATGGTGACGATGTCGATGTCGACGTTGTTGTCGTAGTCACGAAAGCGAAAGGGACAAAAGTTATTATCATCAGATCCCGTTTTTTTTTGTTGGTTTGTTTGTTTGAAACTACCAAAACAAGTCTAAAAAATTTTTTCTGATTCAAAAAAAAAAAAAAAAGAATAACAAAAGGTCATTCACATTTTGAAACATTTCATTTGGTCAAATTATGTTTTTTTCTTCTTCTTAAATTATCTTCTTGACACACAGTCCGCACAGTGTTTGTCGTAGTTAACCAAAATGAAAATGATCATCATCATCATCTTCGTTTTGACCACTCAAATGATCAGTTTGTTGATGAATAGAAGAAAAAAAACCGGTACCCGATATATAGTCAATCATTTTTTTTTCTTTTATTATTATCATAACTTTAACTTGGCATATCATCAATTGTCTGTGATGATGATGATCATCATCATCGTTTTTTTTCTGGGCACTTGACACCATTTTCTTTCTCTCTATCTATGTTGTGTCATATATCGATGCCAATGATGATTCTTTTTCACGATAATGATGATAAAAATAAGAAAAAAAAATTTCATTTTTCATTCACCCGAATAAAAAAAAAATTCCCGATGATAGTATCATCAGTATATCTTATCGGTCACGAATTTTCCGATTTTTTGTTATTATTGTTGTTGAATCAAATAAAATGACCACCACCACCACCACCAGCACTATTATCATCATTATCTGATTGTCAGCCACAAATCCATGATTCGTTGTTGTTGGATTGTGTTATTAAAATAGAAATCATATTTTTAGCCATATTGTTGTTTGTTTTATTTATTGCTTAACCCATGTTGATGATGATGATCATCATCGTCATCATCATCGTAGGCGAAAAATTTCTATTCGAAATATATGGAAAACGATTGTGTCTTTGTGTGTTAGTGTGTTTGGGTTGATTCATTCATTCAATCATTCAGTGAACAATTGAACAACAACAACAACAACAACAACAAAAAAATCTTGATGATATATACCTGATTTTATGGCTAGAAAAAAAAACAATATCATCATGTATGAAATTTGATCAGATTTTTTTTTGGATGGATTTTAGAATCCTTTTTTCTCCAATTGACCTCTCTATTTTGCTATCTTCAATCATTACTCTTACACTATTTTTATGAAGATCCATAAATAGAATTTCTCTTTCAATCATCATCATCATCATTTTTGTATTGTATTTTAGAATAAATTTTGATTTTTGGAGAAGAAAAAAATTTTTTCCAGATTTTTTTTTTTCGCCAATTTTTTATGATAATTGATGATGATGATGACCTATAACCACCAACACCGCCACCACCAACCTCATCAATATCAAAACCACCGTCATTATAATTGCTAAACAAAACAAAAAAACCGAAAAAAAAGATGAAAGCCAAGCCTAGAATACACCATCGTCTATTTTGATTTGATTGATGCTTCAATCGATGATTAAATTCATTAAATTCATAATTAAATATCAATAATAATCATTACCAAATTCCTGATTACCATAGATCGAATCGAATCTAATTGAAATAGCCAAATCAAGATAGAAAGAGAAACATAACGGTAAACAAAACAAAAAAAAATATCATCATCATCATCATCATCGTCATTATCGTTAACACGAAACACACACCACACACGGCCAAGAACGGGCGAAAACGAAGGCGAAATTTCAAAGCTCAACGTTCTCATTTAAAAAAAAAAAATCTTTACAAACAAATTTTTTTCTTCGAAAGTTGTTTTTCTCGGTTCTATTCCTTCACTCCCACTCCCACCACCACCACCACCACCACCACCACTCTATCTATCATTTTTTTTAACTCACTCTCTTCGTTTCTCTCTCTTTTGTTTTTTTTCCCAAATAATACTTCAACAACGACGACGATATATATGGATGGCGTATTGAAGAACAAGAACAAGATGATGATGGCGAAGTTACATGACCTCGAACTAGGTCACTAGCGTTATCATCATCATATATATATATTATTATTATTATTATTTCTGTAGATTATTATATGTACTGTATATATGTAAAGGCAAAAAAAAAAATTTTTTTTTTTTTAATTCATCGTCGTCATGTAATACATTATTGATTGAATTGCATTGTTTTCTATTGTTGTTATTGGTGATCATTTGTCATTTTGTATTTTTTTTTAGGATTTGATCCAAGATGATCCAAAATTATTTGCAGTAGCATTAGGATAAAATGGATGAAAAAAACGGATGTTTTTTTTTGGTGGCAAAACAAATTAGCTGTTGATTATTATTATTGTCGGTGTGATAATAATGATCATCATAAAATTTAGCTTTCGGCGACGAATATATATCCATCATCATCATCATCATCATCATCATCATTATGATGAGGATGATGATGATGATACCTAAAAATAACAAATCACAAAAAAAAAAAAAAACTTTGCCCTAGATTTTTATTATTATTTCTTCTTTGATCTTAAAGAGATTGTCTTTTCTCTCTCTCTTTCTTTCTCTTTTGGTATTCCATACTGATTTTGATTTCTTTTACGGTTCATTCATTGAATTTAATTTTATTTTCGTCTTAAAATTCAACTGAAAATCTTTTTTTTTTTTTGTTTTTGAAATAAATTGTCTATGAAAAATTCCATTTTAACCAGGCGAAAGATAGTGATGGTGGTGGTGGTGATGGTGAGAATGAAAGAATTCAAATTACTTTAAATTTTTTTTTTGAATGATATTTCAGATATCAAATTGCAAAAGAATGATATATAGACGACCGGCGAAAAAAAAAATTGTAAAAGTTTTTTTCTTTTTTTTTTGTTCCAGGTTGATGTCGACCTAATTTCGGAGTCATTCATTGTCATGTATTGTGGTAACTTGCGATCAAATCCCGGAATCATTGCTTACACACACACACACACACACACACACAATCATAACAGACAGAATCAGAATTCATTCAGAACTAAGTTCCATAAGAATTCTATATATATGAAATTTACATTGCTGAAGTTTGGAAAGAATCAAAAAAAAAAACGAATCGAAAATCATTGCAATATGTTTGTGTCCTTGTCTCTATATGTATGTATGCTCGATGATAATGGTATTAGTGGTGGTGTTGATGGTAGTGGTGGTGGTGGTGGTGGTGTTGGTGGTGGTGGATAATTTCAGATTGATATAGCAAGTCCAAGTGTGTGTAAGTTTGGCTATACAATCGATATGTTGCAATGGCGTTCGTTGAACTCATTTGGCCGTTGACCTTCACCATCATCGTTGCTTCAATCATCGTCGATGCAACAATCATCGTTGCTTGTATATCATCATCATCATTATCGTTTATAGTTAGCGGTTGCATCTCTAAAGATCATTTTTCTAATGGTAAAATTATGGCAACACACTTGTTTGTCGTTGTCGTTGTCGTTTGCGTTGCATGCACTTGACTCTCATACAATGCCACCACCAACAGAAAATAAACGATATATTATCGTCATTCGATGTAGTAATACCATCATCATCATCATCATCATCATCATCGAACAGTAAAGAGAATGGTCCAGAAAACCATTCAGTGGTAGTGGGATAATCGCACAACATAATCATATGCTGCTATCATGTTCACCATAACCATCGTCTCTTTTTTGTTTATTATATTCAAAACAATATTTTTTTTTTGTTTCTCTTTCTTCTTTCTTCATGTGTATTGCAAACTTTTTTTCCCCTTTTTTTCCATCAACAGCAACAAATAGAAAAATACAGAAAAAATAAAAAAAAAATTTTCCCATTCCATTGCTACTGCTGTTGCTGCTACTTATTATCATTTTGGATCGATCATGATGATGATGATGATGATTTAGTGTTTTTGTTTCTATCTATTCATCCGTATTGGATGCATTTTTTTTCTACGAAAAAAAATCATTTGGATTCTTTCAGATTCGATTCGATTCTGGTTTCGATTTCAGAATTTCAATGATAAATGATTTTAATTGCTTTCAAATTTCAACTATTCGATAATTTTCTTTTTTTGGATCTCTATTCATCTTTTTTTCTGGTTTTCTCATTTTTTGTTTTCACCATTGTTTCTTCTCTTTTTGTTTGTTTGTTTGTTGGAATCATCACTTGTTGTGTTTGTCATTCTCATCATTTTGGCCAAAAATATCATCAACCTGATCAACATTGTTCAACATCATTCAAGTGTTATTATTATGTGTTTCTGGTGATTGAGATAGATGGACATTTTTTTTTAAAAATAACCGCGTATACCAGAAACCAGAAAATATTTATCCGAACCACTTTTGGCTAATGCTTCTACCAATAAAATAGTACCGTTTTTTTTCTATTTCAATTCTCAAAAAGATATATATATATATATATCGTCTGTGTGTTTAAATCGTATGTCTCTTCAGGGTCTGTTTTTCCCTTGTTTTTGTATGTGTATTGATGATGATCATCTGGAGTATGCGGACTACATACAATAATAAAATTTTACTAGAAGAAGAGCAATATATACAACCAGAGAGAGAGAGAGAGATTTGGTCGTTCCCTTTTTTTTTCGTTGTCGTTGTTGTTTTCTGGGGGAAAAAAATATCGCCTACTACAAATGTGTGTGTGTGTAATATAGCTGCTTGCTTTAACTTGATTGTGTTGGTTGGTTGGTTGGTTGGTTGGTTTTTTGATCGTCGTGGTCGTCTTGTCGGTTCATTCATTTCATTCCCATTCATCGAGCATTCACCATCTCATCATCATCGAACAACAAACAACACTACGACGGCATTCATATTTCGACTGTTCGACAGTCAACAACAAAACACTAGCCATCATCATCATCATAATCATCATAATAATATCGTCTTCGTCGTCGTTGTTGTCGTCAAATAATGTGACCAGATCAACATGAACCAGAAATATTAAAAAAAAATTTCTGGTTCGTTATTTCCAATGTTTATTCTGGATTCAGATTTTTTTTCTTAAAAATAAAAATAATCATCATGGATCTATAGTATATCAACGATAATAATCATCAATACTGTGTGTGTGTGTGTGTGTGTGTGTGTAAGTGAGTTTGACCTCAGGATTGTGACATTTTTTGTTCACCTTTCTAAAAAAATTCATCTCATAATTCACACACATCATTATCATGTCATAGAAAAAACCAATCAACCATCTCAATTTATCCAGGAAAACAGAAACCATCACTACCAACATGAATGTGATTCAAAGATTCTTTTACTTATGATTTTAAATCCAATTCAATTATTATTATTCAATGGAATAGAATAATAAATTTTCAATAATAATAAAAAAAAATGAACCAATGAATGAATGAATTGCGCAAGTTCGGTGACCTTACTTACTCTTTGGTGGATTTCATCATCCTATTTTTTTTCTTCTTCTTCTTGGATCGATTGTGTATTTGGAATTCGGTGTGTGTTTGTGTGTGTGTGTTTTTTTTCTGGCAACATTTTCGTTACCATGACACATTAAATTATCTACATATATATATAGGAATTGATGATCAAAAAGAATGTCCTACCAGAAAAAACGCTGAACTTTGAACTAAATATAACGGGCCTGATTCGCTATATGTTTTGAATACAATTTGCTTTTTTTTGTTAAATTGTTTAATTGTTCATCGTTTTTGTTTTGTTTTGTTTTGTTTTTTTGTTTGTTTGTTTGTTCGTTGAAAACTAATACACCACCACTGCCATCATCATGTCGTTATTTCATTCATATAAATTAAAACGACGAAAAGTCGAAGAAGAATTAAAAGCTGCAGCAGCGGCGGCAGCAGCAGCAGCAGCTGCTGCTGCATTAGTTTCCGGTGGTCAATTAAAATCTGATTCATTGAATGATCCAACAACAACAACGGTGATCAACAATGATTTAACTGTTGTTGAAAATAAAATTATCGATGCTAAAACGACAATGGCTATGACAACAACAGCCAATGGATCATCATCACCATCAACCACCGCAACAACAACAACAGTCACAATGAATGGTACAATAAATGCAACAACAACAACAACATCGACGATGACGGCAACGAAAATGTTATCATTAACGGAAACATCGGAATCAGTGGAATCATCGACGACCACATCGTTATCATCAACACCGCCACCATTATCATCATCATTATCGATGACCAATAATTCATCATCACCATTATCATCAGGGTCTTTAGCTGATGATGATCCATTAATAATAGTTGATCGTCATCATCATAATCATTCGCCACCGTCATCACCACCACCACTACCACCATCATCATCATCATCATCGACAACATCAATTATACAATGTGATCAACATCATTCAACTACTACGATGCTATCATCATTGATGAATAAAGCAACCGTAACAACAAAATCAAGTGATTCAATTGATTCGGCAACCGGTTCATTATCATCATCTGGATCAACCTCATCATCATCATCTTCATCATCATCATCATCTTCATCGTCATCATCTGGTAATGGTAGTGAACATGAACAATGTTTAGATTTATCAAAACCAAGATCTTTACCACAATCAACGGTTGTGACGACAACAACGACGATGCCTATTTCGACAACAATAACAACAGCAACAACAACAACAAATAATCGGCCATTATTGATGGTTGCGGCTACTGCAGCTACCAATAATAATAATTCTAATACGACAACCACTACTTCATCCACATTATCATCATCATCAAATATTGGCCATACACATGGTTCCCTGTTGCATCATACGTTAAATGGTTTCATTAGCTCATCATCATCTTCCGCTTCTTCCTCGTCATCATCATCACCACCATCAAATGGTGGTGCATCATCACCAATGGAACATCAATCCTCACATTCAACATCATCATCATCTGCATCATCACCTTCATCTGGTAATGGAAGTAGTAGCCTAGAATCATCAGGTATTAATGGTGGTCTTGCAGCCGTTTGTCTTGGTGAATCATCACCATCGGCTAGTTCACTATCAAGTGGATCATCACCACCACAATCATCTTCATCATCATCATCAACATCAGGATCGTCGTCCATAGTCAAATCTTCAAATTCTTCAATGATAATAGTAGGTGGCCAACAGCCACAGATTTCTAAATCCGGAAACAGTAATAATAATACAAATGGTAGTACGGCATCAATTGGTTCTTTGATATTATCATCAGCATTGTTAAATGGTGGAATGTCTGCGGCAGCAGCTGCAGCAGCTGCCGCAATTGCTGCTCAGGCTGCCGCTGCTCAACAACAACAGCAACAAGAATCAAAAAAATCGGCGACAGCAACTATTCCTGGTGCCGCTTCATTACCATCGGCAGCAAATGGTACATCACCATTATCAACATCAACATCATCAGTTACCGGTCCAAATTCTGCATCTAACACTACTGCCACCGCTATTTCTCAATTAGGTTCACATCATGGATTTCCATTATCACATTATCAACAACAGCAACAATTACGATTAGATCCAGTTGCTGCAGCTGCTGCTGCGGCTGCAGCTCAACAACAACAAAATCATCCACAAGCTGGTGGTGATAATCAACAAATGATCTGTATGATATGTGAAGATCGTGCCACTGGTTTACATTATGGAATTATTACCTGTGAAGGTTGTAAAGGATTCTTTAAACGTACTGTACAAAATAAACGTGTCTATACTTGTGTTGCCGATGGTCAATGTCTGATTACTAAACAACAACGTAATCGATGTCAATATTGTCGATTCCAAAAATGTCTACGTCAAGGTATGGTTCTGGCTGCTGTACGTGAAGATCGTATGCCTGGTGGACGTAATTCTGGTGCCGTTTATAATCTGTACAAAGTTAAATATCGTAAACATAAAAAACCAGGTTCAAATAATAATCATAATAATATAGCCGGTTCAAATACATCAATCTGTACAAATACGATAACATCAATAGCCATATCATCATCAGCATCATCATTATCACAGCCAAATAGTCCAATGATGGTCTCAACAAATGGTACAACAGCAGGCATTACGCCTACAACACCACCAATCAATATATTGATTAATGGAAATGGTTCGCCATTATTATCTAATAATACTGCCGCTACCAATCAACAAACAAATCCATTTTCAGCATTAAATGGTCATCATAATCATGGTAGCCATAATCATATTAATCATAATCAAAGTCATCATCAACATCATCAAAATTCTTTAATGAATGGTCATCATGGTCATCATAATCATAATAATAGTAGTGGTACAACAACAACAACAATTCCACGATTAAATGGTACAACAAATTCATCATCATCATCATCACCACCACCACCATCTGGTATATTAAAAACTGTTTTAACTATGCCACATCGTCTTCATAATAATAATCATCATTCAACATCATCAACAACAAATACAAATACATCATCATCATTATCATATGTAAATGGTACAAATGGTACAAGTGATGTTTCTCTTTATCGTCATCTTAATGGATCATTAACATCATCCACATCATCCACAACAACGACAACAATGACATCATCGATTGGATCTAATTCAGCATTTAATTCAATCAATAATAATTCATCATCATCATCATTATCAACAACGACAAATTCTCATCATTTAGCACAAGCTGCGGCAGCTGCAGCCGCTGCTAGTATATTTCCTGTGTTAATTGTTAATGGATTCTTAAATAATGGTGGTGGTAATCAAGTATTGACAACGATTGCTCGACAAATGCATATTATATTGGCTAATGCATCAGCCAATGATAATGGTAGTGTTGGTGAATGTTTAATGTCACGTGATGAAAGTGATCAATATCTATCTGCTTTGATTGATTGTGATGATTTTGCTGAATTCGGGTAAGTGAAAAAATAGTGAAATTTTTTTTTCGGAAAAAAATCAACTAATAAAACGAATCTTTTTTTCATATATTTCTTACAATTTACATACAGATCTTTATCAGCTTTGGAATTGACAGAAACATCAACATCATCAAATAGCAACGAATTAAGTGATCGATTGTAAGTATCTTAAAGAATTGAATTGTTTTTATTTGATATTCAAAATTAGTCGAGGTTAAAGTACGCGAATCGTCTCTCATTCAACTAAAAACTGATGACATTAACCTTTGTTGTTGTTGCATTTTTTTAGTTAAAATCAAATTCCTGGTTATAATCTCTGGTTTTGTTATGATTTTTTTTTCTCTATCCATGAAAAAGGTCATCATATTTGACATCCAAACATCATAATAATAATAATGTTCTGTTTTTGTTTGTTTATTTTTGTATATGTGTTTAAAGCAATGTTGTATAAGTGTGTGTGTGTGAGTGTATCCTTGACATGACCTTAGCTCTCGTTTCATCAGAATAAAGTTCATCGTTCAATTAGTTATGTCATTCATATCTATACACGCATGTGAATTAGCTAACGTTTAACAGTTGTTGTTGTTAGAATGCAAAGAATCAGGCTAACGACCTCCAAATATCAATGGATAGTAATTTAAACGTTTTTTTCTTTGGAAATTTTCTTGGAAATTTTTGCTTTTCCGTATATAACTGGGAACTTTTCTTTTCATTTATTGCAACAAAGTTACTCTATACCCAACCCGAAAAATTTTTTGATGATAATAAATATATGGCCATCATCGTCATCATCATCATCATCGTTCTGAGCTAACAAAAACCAAAAAGGCAATTCAACTTTTCTCTCACGTTCCCAGTTAGAGAACATTACCCTCAATGTAGTTTTTTTTTGTCTCGATGATGATGATGATTATTTTGATTTTTGTTTTTTTGTAATCAAAATAAAGAAAGAAAGAAAAAAATGGTTGTTTTTGTTTTTGGCTTGGCTTGGCTATATATAAAAAAAAAAATTTTCTGGATATAAAACACACGACGTCTTTTTCATGACTCCGTCTGTTTGTCTGTTGTTATACACTTGATACGCCACACACATATATATATAGCTGTGTATGTATCCAATGTAAAATACCCTGAAAAATTATTTCTCGATCGATCCATATCAGTTAGTTAGTTAGTAAATGATTGATTTTTGTTTTTGCCACTACGTTCAATTCATATCTTTTACACTATTGATATATAGAGATATTCGGTTATTTTTTTTTTTTTTTTTTTGGTAGATACAATGTATCCGATTCAATTCAATTTTGCTGCTAACTGATTAATCGTTGCCATCGTCATCGTCATTATGATAATGATTTATATATATAAATTAATGTCATCAACGTGCATCAATATTCACTTCCTTGTTGTTTTGTAATGTTGCCAATAAATCGTATTGTATATATATTGGGTAGCTAGCTAGCTAGCTACGAAAATTCACAAAAAAAACTTTTCCATAAACATTAAAGAATTTATTTTCGTAAACATTTCTCCAGTTTCAGTGATCATGATGATGAAGAAAAAGAATCGTTGACCTCTAAAAAAAAAGCTACCGAGCAAGAGAGAGAGAAACATTATCACTGACTGGTACCAAGAAGAAAAAAAAAACAAAAATGGATTGGATTAAACAAGACCATGACCTTAGTCCTTGTTTTTTTATTTTGCTTCTTCTTTTAAAACAACGTTCATGACCTTTGACCGTTGATGATATAATTTTCTTTTTTTTTATTAAGTTTAAATATATTCGCTGACCTTTTGCCTGGTTGTTGTTGATAGATATAGATGTTTGAATAGGTAGAATTTTTTTTTTATTTGTTCACCAATTATTATCTCAATGTTTTACAAATGAAAAAAAGAGTAAAAAAAAATTATAAATTGGCAATCGATTGATTGATTGATTGATAAGTTTATTTTGAAAACGATATAAATCAATCCATTATTATCATTGTTTGACCGTAATGGCCTGTGTTCATCTGATGATGATAATATCATGCTATCATTTGATCACGAATTGACTTTCAGAGTTGCTATTATTAAACTAAAATAATTCAACAAAAAAAAAAATCTTTTTTTGGTCATCATTTTCTTCATTGGTCAATAATTTTTTTTTCGTGTCAGTAGTTATTATTATTATTATTACTACTATCAGGTATGTAGGTCAGTAAGCTGTTGTGATGTCCATATATATATAATGATGTGGACAAAAATTTCTCTCATTCATTCACTATCTATCTATATCTTTGTGTCAATATACCATACCTGTCAGGTCTATTTTTTTTTTGTTTCTAGCAAAAAAAAAAGTTCACCATTACTAGTTTAGTCTAGTAACCCAAAGAAAAGTTCATATAATACCTGTAAGTTCGTAACCTAAGATCTCACTCACTGATGATCATCATCATCGTCATTATAAATGAGAGAAAAACTTGTTTTTTAAATCTAAAAAAAAACTTTTAACCTGTTTTTTCTGTGGGTGTGTGTGTGTGTGTGTGGAAAATTGGCTCTTTCATTCTAGTCGTTGTTGTCGTTGATGTTCTTTTTGGTTGTACACTTAGTTTCTGGTCTGATTGGTGGGCGCCATGACCAATAAATTCACTCTCTTAACCACTCTGATGGGGGTGGGATTTTTTTTTTTTTTTGGTTCACAGTGTGTGTTTTAGGCCATCATCGTCATCATCATCACCTGTCGTCTGTGTGATCAAGAAAACGAAACACACACACACACACAGAAAAAGAAAGATAATTGTATAAGCATAATTGTTTTTTTTTTTCGTTCTTAGTCGGTCAAAATAACCAGAAAAAAAAACTTTTTTGGTTATATGACTAAAAAAGAACAATGAAGAGATGAATTCTTTTTTCACTCACACTCTCTTCTGTGTGATTTGTTTGTTTGTTTGCTGTCGTTGTTGACCCTAATAACAAGATCAAAGGTGTGTGTGTGTGTGTGTGTGTGTGCGTTTTGGACAATGTAGGATCCGTGTAGTAAAAAAAAAAAAACGAAAAAGAAAAATCTTTTATTCTTATTTCGAGAAAATAAAATCAGATATATAAATAACCGATGGATTCAGTAATAGAAAAAAAAGGTTAAGGTTGTCATTTTGTTTGTTGAATATATATATAGCTGCTGTTCCAATATTCTGATGGTTGCCCAAATTTCCAAATTTTTTTTTTTTTTTTTACATTATTGTTAATCTATCTTGAAAGACTCAGACTTGTTGTCAATATTGGTTATTTTTGTAGTCTCAGCTTTGTATGTTTGTGTGTGTTTGAATGTTTTCGGGTTCGAAGTACTTTAATTAGCACATGAACAAATTATCATTGTCGATGATGATGATAATGATGATAGCAGCAAATAATGGCGCCTGGGTTTATCTTATTTCTTAATAGTAAGATTTTCCTCAGTAATCAACAATAATCTAATCCAGTCCATTGATTTGAAAAACGAAATAAACAAAGAAACCACTTTACAAATAGATTGTGTTTGTGTATGTATGTGTGTGTGATAAACCCTACTGTAATTTTATTTATCAATCAATGTCGAATTGATTAATTACGAAATACAATTGTTGTTGTTGTCGTTGTTGTTGTTGTTGTTGTTGTTGTTGTTGTTTTTTTTTGCAATAGAAGTAGCAGCAACATTTATCATTAATAATAATGACAATGATGATGATAAGCAAAAAAAAATTGAAAAAAACCCGGAAATTCCGTATTCATCATGATGATGATGATGATGATAATGATGGTCATTGAAAAATACTAGAATTTTCAATCAAATTCGTACATTACCTTTTTTAATCAAGGGATTATATTGTATTTCATTTCATTTTTTTTTTTTTTTTGTAATTCAGGAATTTTGATCATTCTGTTCTGTCTCGTGTCCTAGTACAGACACATTTTTTCTTCACATAATGCAAGAATCATCATCATCATCATCATTAATGTTGATCGCTTCCTAGATTGCGCTGACGTTTATTTATCACACATTTTTTTTTGATTTAATTTCTTGGATCTCTGGTTGTTGTCTGGTATTTTTTTTTCTTTTATTATTATCACCATTATGACCACTTCTACATGTCGATACTACTATATAGATGAAATAGTTTTTCTGGTTATAAAAATTGGGTGTATATAGGCTGCTGTTGTTGTTGTTGTTGCTTTTGTTCTGGTAAAAATTTATAAACAAGGCATGCGAATGAACGAAATGGAATTGAAAAGAAGCAAAAAAAAATGGGAACAAGGAGACATTGAACTTTGTTGGCGGCAGCGGCGATGGCAATGGATGATCATCATTATCATCTATTGCCGGTTCGTTTTTATTATTATTATTCGTTTCCAATGTTTTTTTTTTTTTTGTTTGTTTCTTTGTTATTTTTGTTGTTGTTGCTTTTCTGGTTAGCGTCAATGTTTCTTTTCTGATCACAGTATTACATGAAAATTTTCGCCCAAAATTTCTAATCAATTTTTTGTTTTTCATTTTTTTTCCATTTCCTTTATTATTTAGATGTTCAATTGGTGATTCAATCGTATATCGATTAGTACAATGGACCAAACGTTTACCATTCTATGAACAATTACCGGTTCATACACATACACAGGTAAGTTTGTTTTTGTTTTCATTACTCAAAAAATTTGAATCCTAAAAATAATCTGTCTTACTACTTTGTCTGTTGTTTCAAATAATCAATGCATATTTTGGGTGTGTGTGTGTGTATGTGATTCAATTATAGTTTAAAATGTTGTCCTTGAGTAACAAATATACGGAACAACCGGCCAAGAATTTAAGTACAAATTCTATATACAATAATAGTATAGAATATTAGAGATCCGTTCAGTACTTCAGTTTTATTTATTCATATATAAATCGTTTTTCTTTTTTCTTTTTTTTTCTAATTCAACCTATGTCGCACGTCAATAGAGCAATGCGCCTGAATTATTATATTATATATTAAAAAGTTTTGTAGCATTCATTTCACCATTCGATATGATTGTATGTGCATGTATATGTGTGATCATCATCGTCATCATCATTATCATTCATCTATCCATCCATTATAGTATGGATAGTGTATATGCAATTTGCTATTTTTATGAATCTAGGTCAAAAGATTTGTACAACACACACACACTGTTTTCGTCATCATCATCATCATTTTGTTGGGTTTGATGAACTCAACAAAGCTTGATTATAGCAATAGTAATAAATAACTACTTATAGCATTGAAATGATCCTTGAGCTTCCTTTTTGTTTTGTATTTTCATTACGTTTACAAATACATACACACACACACACACACACACACACACAAGAAAAAAAAGTATTAGCAATATTAAATACAAATGTATATATAAATGATGATAATGACAATAACCGAAAAAAAATGGAAAATTTTTTTTCTTTTTCTTGATTGATGAAAAGAATTTATATTCCACAATGAATTTATAGGTTATCTAGATTTTTGGATTCGATAATTTTTTTGATTTGATGGTGACAAGTCATCATCATCGAAGAAGATGATGAAGATGAAGAAGGAAATAAAGAAAAGAAAAATGTTTATTTTTCTTACATCTGAACATTGAATTTGTAAAGTTTTTTTTTCCTTCTCTTTTTTTTTGTTGCTGCTTTGCTTGCTTTTACACACACATTGTCATTTTTCATTACAATTCTATTGCCTTCTATTGGATTATAAATTCATAATAATAATAATAATCATAGAATTACGAAATGAAAACTGTTTTCTAGTTGTTGGAAATGTGATACACACACACACATAGACACACACATGAATGAATCCCACAAGTCCCAAGTTCACGATTTTCTTCATCTTCAGTTTTAGCTTTTTTTTGTGTTAAGTTTGCGTAAACAATTTTCTTTTCTCATTTTTTTTCAACATTGAATTTTTTTTTTATTTATTTCAAAGACATGGATTTGGAAAATGTATTTAAATTCAACAAGAGTGAGAGAGAGAGAGATATAGAGAAAAATAGATAATGAAAACATCGAATAATGAATTTCGAAATTTAAAGTTTCTCTCTCTCTCTCTCTCTCTCTGTCTCGGCCATAGTAGTACAATTAGAAAAAAAGCACATGGAACATTTTATGATGAATGAACAGACAGCATTAGATTCATTCGTTTTTTCTCAATTCTTTTTTTTTAATATTCATCTCATTTGGAAGAAAAATACAAAAAAATTCCACATACACTGTAAACTGTAATGTGTGAAAACACATAGACTGGACATGGTGCCCTTGGTCATGTTTTTTTTTCTTCATTTTCTCAATTCAATTCATTCAAGTCATTCATTCATTCAAATTTGTTCATAATTTGATATCGCAATCGCTTGGTTTCTTTTTTCTGTGTGTGTGTGTGTGTGTGCATAATAATAATAAATATTATAGACACCATTGCAGCAATACAACAACAACAACAACAACAACAAAAAACTAATCATGAACAAGGTGAAAAAAAATGTGAATAAATTCAAGAGAAATAATAGTATTTTGAAAAAAAAAAAAATTTGCGGTAGTGGTGATGGTGGTGGTTAATGGTGCATGGTTACAATTGATAATCAACAACAACAACAACAACAAAACAAAACGAAAAAAGCGAATGAACGAATGCAAGGTTTTTTTCTCTCTCTCTCTATCTCGTTATTCTTGTTGTTCAATCGAAAATTTTTTCACTATTCATCCAAAAAAAAAAAAAAAATCTATCCTCATCATCATTATCGAAATTAAAAGAAAAAAAAATCAACGAATATTTTAACATTGATCATCTTCGGTATTTAGCAGTGTTTGTTATCGTTTATTCGTTCGTATTATCGTATCAATGGCTTCAGTGAAATTACAATAAAATAAAAAGATTGGATGTGTGTGTGTGAAACCATTTGATATTTCATATCATTGAATGTTTGTTGGTGGTTATGGTGGTGGTGGTGGTGGTGGTGGTGGTGGTGGTTGCTCAAAGTCGCAAAGTATTTCTTTTCTTTTTTTTTAATGATTATTTGGGATCAATACACTATTTGTAGGTCATAATACGTTTCTCGAGTGCCGTTTGTTTGTGTGTGTATGTGTGTGTGTGTGTGTGATATACATTTCACAGGCGTCCTTTTTTTTCATTTTCGCTTGTGTGTGTTTATAATAGATTTCCAAGGATGATGATCTTGTAAATTAAATTGTTTTGTGTGTGTATGTATGTATGTTGTTGTTGTTGAAAATGTTAAAAAAAATATTAAAAGATTCTAGAATATTCTTTTGGATTCTTGAGAATTTTTTCATTTCCATTTTTTTTCCAAAAGTTTCCAAATATGGGAAGATATATAACACTACCCTAGAGTGAAAAAAAAGTTGACTTCACCTCATAAATTCTAATCCAGGAATTCATTGTTGTTGTTGTTGTTGTTGTTTTTGTGGTAAAAAAATAATAATGTTGACAGAATGACAAAATGAAACTAGAAAAAAAAACAAACAATCAGTCAATAATAAAATGAAAAAACCAAGTTGATAACCACCACCACCACCTCATCATCATCATCATCATCATCATGTGTGTGTGTGTACATTTTCTTGTTTATTTTTTTTTTTGTCTATGGCCTCTAAAACTAGGTCAAAATAAAGAGAAACAAAACAAAAAAAAATTTCGGTTATTTAATTGTATGTGTGTCTTGTTTTAAAATGTACCTTCATGATGATATGATTGTTTTCTCCACTGTTGTTATCTAATTTCAATTGTTACAGGATTCTCTTTTTTTTTTTTTCTTAAAATCATTTGATGACTGACATGATTTTTTTTTCTGTTTTGTTTTCTGTTTTTGTTTTGTTTTGTTTCTCTAGCTATTGACACATAAATGGCATGAATTACTAGTCCTATCAACATGTGCATTTTCAGCCATAAATAGTAATACAACATGCATTGAATCATTGGATATGGAAATACGACAATGTATGACAAATTTAGCTGGTAATCTATCAAGATTGAATGCAACATCATCTGGTACAATAATATCTTGTGCACAATTGGAAATGGAAGCCGGTGGTTTAGTATCGGAATTATGTGCAGTACGATTTGCATTCAAATCATTAGGATTAACATTGAATGAATTTGTTGCATTAAAAGTGATTGCAATGACAAGCATTGTTGCAAATAATAATAATAATAATAATAATGAAAATGGTGCCGATTCTGGATCTCGAAGCGGTGATAATCATCATCAACAACAACAACAACCAGATATTGCTGATCCAAATTCTGTATTAAGGATACGTGATCGTTATCTAAAAGCATTGGTCTCACATTTGATACATAAAAAACCGCCACTTGGTTCTGGACAATTAGGTTCAACAGCAGCACAATTAGCATCATTAAATGGTGGTGGTTCATCAGCTGCATTCATATCATCATTAAATACGGCAGCACAAACACATAATTTAACCGGTGCATTAGGTCCAAATGCTGGTCATGTATTGGCACGTTTGAATTCATTATTAAACTTGTTGGCACAAGTTAGTTCAGCTGCAAATCTATTATTACAATCAAAGATGTTTTACGTACCATTCTTAATGAATTGTAGTAGTAGTAGTAGTAATAGTGGTAATGTTAATAATTCAACAACTGGAACTATGAATAATAATAATAATAACAACAACAACAGCAACAACAATACAAATAATTCAATGATGAATGGCCACAATCACAATCATAGCCACAATCATCATCTTCATAACCATCATCATCATCAGCATCATCAAAATAATCATATACCATCATATCTTACAATGAGACAACAACAACAGCAGCAACAACAACAACAACAACAACATTATGATGTTCATCATCATCATCATCATCATCATTCATCATTATCGAATCATCATCGATCACAGATTGGTAATAATAATAATAATTCAACAATAATGAATAATCTATCATCATCACCATCTGTATCTGTATCAAATCAATTGAATAATTCACAAACAACAACAACATCATCATCATCATCATTAACGAATGGTACAAATTCTACAAATAATACACAGCCACCAACAACGACACCGACACCAATTCTTGCTTCCGGATCTGGTATTGGTTCGAATTGATGACCAAAAACCAAAACAAAACAATTGAAAAAAATCTCAATTTTTTTGCGATACAAAACAAAACAAAAAACGAGCAGCTACAAATACAACTTTTTTCCAAAAAAAAAATCATCATCATCATCAATATTTTTTCGTGATTATATATCCTGATTATCTGATATTTTTTTGCCTCTCTCTCTTTCTCTATTCTCGATCTTTCATATTTTAATTGATTGCACAAAAATCTTCATCACCACCATGACCATCACTGCAAGAATCATCATCATCATCACCAATGTGCTAACATAAAACTGCCCCACATTTTTTTTTGTCTTATAAAAACCTAATAATTTGTTTTTTTCTTAGTCGCTCTATTTACTTTATCCAGCAACAACAACAACAACAACAAATGATATGATAAATTTTACTTTGAATTCAATGATCACACACACACACATTCATTTCACACTTGTGCTAGTCTTTTTTTTTAATTTTTAATTCTGGGAATTTTTCAACAAACAAACAAACATAAAAAAAAATCTCGAAAATGAATAAATGACATTAGAAGAGAAAAAGAATCTGAATATTTTTTTCTTTTCTCAATAATTTCTTTCACTACCAATTTTTTCCCATTTTACTTACATATATACCCACTGTTTTGACGTTGATTCATTCATTCATTTATTGAGTTTTTGTTTTTTTTTTTTCTCTTCATTATTCTCTATAACTGTCTCACTGCTATATATAAATCACATCACATTATTACTATTATCTCACATTTAAAACACCCAAAACACCTATCACACACCTATCACACACACACACATAAACACACAATTGATTGATTGATTTTTATTTTTTTTTTCTTTCATATTCATCATTTTACAAATACAAATTGTTTGTTGATAATTGTCATTTTCACTATTGTTGTTGTTGTCGTCGTTGTCATTGTTGTTGTTGTTGTTGTTGTTGTTGTTGTTGTTGTTGTGATGATGCACGACAAATAATTTTACAATTACAAATATACACAACACACATATATACATTATTACATTATTATAGCTCTATTACACACAGCTTATTGTACAGTCTTCATTTATAAATTTCAAAATTTTTTTTATGAATATTATATACACTTGAATACCATTTATATACCTTATTGATTAATATTTAACAATTTACAATTCATATTCATATTCATATTCATATTCATATACATTCATTCATTTGATTCAGCAAACAGAATTGATCTATTCATATGTTCATCACACACACACACACGCGTATATAACTGCCATAAATGCGATGCCCAACAACAACAACAACAACCACAACTACAACAACAACCAAATCAACAGCAACAACAATCATTTCTTTTGGTTTTGTTTTGTTTTTTTTCTCTCTCTCTCTCTCTCTCTCTCTAAAAATCATTTTTTTTCCCAATCGATTATCATTGTTATCATCACATGAATTTGCTGAAAACAAAATCACATTAATAACATCCATTTCAATTATAAATGATTTTAATTTCTTTCCTGTTTTTTTTTTCACGGATAAAAAAAAAGAATTTCATTTATTTTGTAAATTTTTTTCTATTATTATTATTATTATTATTATTATCATTATTCAAACATTCTTTAACGATATTTTTTTTCCCTCCATCTGGAAATGAAAGAATTTGATTTTCATGTATCAATTGAGAAAAATGGCTTGGCCAATGATTTCATCTAGTTTCTCTGTCTCTCTCTCAATGTTTTATGGTATTCTTTATTTCTTCTTTCACAAATTTTTCAATTTGCCTTCTTCGAAATCATTGCATCCTCAATTTTTCTTCAATTCAAAAAGATTTTACTTTTACAACATTGCAACCAACCAACCAACAAACAAACCAACACACACACACACACAAACATTTATAATTTTCTTATCATAAAAATTTTTTTTTCTTTGAATTGATGTATTTTATATATAAATATAAATATATAAATTGATATATAATATAAATGATTTTACTTTATCAACAAACAAACGTTTGATTTTTATTGATTTTTGATCGTCATCATTATTAATTTGCGCCAAAATTGTATTCAAATATTTCAAAACAAAAAAAATTAACAAAGACCGTGCTGCCATCTGTTGTCCGATCAAGTCAATGAACAAATTATAGTTTGTCACATGTTCGATTGATTGATTGATATGTTGTATCTTTGCACTGAAAATATGAAAATGATGATTTCCTTTTGATTTGATTTGATTTTTTATGTTGTACTGGTAATATTTTATTACAGGATTTCCTTCAAAATGTGGACATCCCTTTCGACAACCGTTTGAATACACACACACACAAGATTGAATTGGGGAAAAAAGTTCATTAGACCTACGAACGAAATTTTTTTTTTTGTTGAGTCCTTTTACCATCATAATCAAAACCAAATAAAAAAAATCAGTAAAATTTTTTGATAAAAAAAAAACTTTTGCCATAAAAATTATCAGCAATCGAGTTGCTAAAAAAGTTCAGCATTGCAATTTTAGTTTTAAAAAGCCAAACACAACTCAAATTGATGGCCATCCAATCATTGATCATCGAATCATCAACATCTTTCGTACATATATATAACCCTCATACTAAACTTTTGAAACAAGTTTTTTTTTCTAATGAAAAACATTCAAAACCATCTATCATTATCAATCATGAATGGTAAGCGATAGCAACAACAAATCTTCATGCGCGTGTTGTTTTTTTTTTCCTGATTTCGATTCATTTCAACAACAAATTCTTCATTCTCTCAACATTTTTTGTTGTTATTCATTCTGCATTTGTTGAACATCAGAAAGGTACGTTTGTGCGTGTTTGTTTGTGTCTGTGTGCACGTAAAACATTCAAGGACATTTTTTGGCACAACTTTATTTTTGAGTACAAAAAATCTTTCATTCCTTTATTCATTCATTCATTTTTTTTCTTGTTGTTTGATTTAATTTATTCACTGTTCATTATCAGTTCATATCTCTCTCTCTCTCTATCTATGTGTGTCTTATATTCACAAAAAATGCGATCTGTGAATACAGCGTGATTTTTTTTTGGATTTGTTTTTTCTGTTTTAGGAATGAATGAAACATTTTTAAAATTCCATCGCACCAGTAAATATTTGTTTAAATGATGCAAAAATTGTGAAATTATCCGTTATTTGTTTATGGTTAATCAACATTGTTACATACAGTGATTATGGACGACAAAAATAATGATGTCCAATATTCCAATGATGGATTTGTTGAATCTATTGAATTTGAATTACGAAATAGAAATGACGATAGTTCATCATCGACCCAGAATATATCATTGGCATGGCGAAATTTATCGTATGAAGTGAGTGGTTGGTTCGGTAGTGGAAAAAAATCCATTCTGAAACGTTTGAATGGCCATGTCACTTATGGCAGTATGAATGCGTTTCTGGGTCCAAGTGGAGCAGGTAAAACTACAATGCTCAACTGCTTGAATGGTACACTTCGTAGTGGTATCACTTCGGACTCCGAGATTTATCTGAATCGTGCAGAACGTAATCAAACGCCAATTATTCGATTTGTCGAGCAACATGTTCACGAAACCATCATTGCTCGAATGACAGTTCGAGAAATACTTCACTATGCATTTCGTTTCAAGAATCCTATGAGCCAATGGAATCGAATGAATCAGCATATACTTTCAGTGTTGAATGAACTTTTACTCGATAAAACCATATTGGATAATCATTTCGAGAAATGTTCTGGCGGAGAACAACGACGTATTGCCATCGCTCAGGAATTGATGTCATTGGAAAAGCCGACTTTTTTGTTCGTCGATGAACCAACAACCGGCCTTGATAGTAATGCTGCTCTACTTGTTATGGAATGTTTACGAAAATTAGCTGGTAATAATCGATTGACTATTCTGGTTTCAATACATACCCCCAACTCAGACATTATGAGCTTATTCGACAAAGTATTTGTTCTTGCCAAAGGAGGTGTTTGCATCTATTCCGGACCACCAAATGACTTGCGTAACAATTTGAAACAAAAAATCGACGATGAATTCGACACGGAGAAGCCACCCATTGAAGAATATCTTGATATCGCTTGTGAAGGTATGAAATAGAATCATTAAATCTAGATAAATGGATAACTCTAAGAAAAACCTTTTCATTAGCTATTGGAAGTGAAATTGTTCGAAAATTAACCGATTCAACCTTGATTGAACAACATGCTCAATTGGATCCATTGGTTGATGATTTAAAATTCTTAAAGAATGGTGTCCGGCAAGGACGCAAACGTTTCTGTTGGGGAGACCTAATCTTACAATTTCATCGGATATTCAGAATATCATTCATAGCCGAATATAAAAGCTTTTTAATGCAATTTCTATATTATTTTCTAGTAATCATGTTGGTCACAACGTTTTTTGAATCGAAAATGACTCATGCTGAAACTTGTTATTCATTCGAATCGGATGAAAGTGCTCGAAATGTTACCTGTCGTGATAAATTATACGCTGAAGCATTGGCTGATGATTATGAAATGAATCAATGGTTTTTCATTATACTATTCGGAATGAGCATAGTTTCTATCAGTAGTATGTTCTTCGATCCCATATTAAAAGTATTTCGAAATGAACATCGTAATCGTAAGTTTGTCCTACTTTAAAAACTAATCATAATAATAATAAAATGATCATCATTTGAAATTACAGAATGGTATGGTCTTGGTACATTCTATTGGGCATTTATCGTTGTACGTTTTTTCCAATTGACTATTATGTCCGTTTTTATTGGCACAGTTGCATATTTCTCTGTTGATCATCTATATGTTGACAATTATCAAATGAATTGGAATCGATTTGGTCATTATTTATATTTTACTTGGTTAAATAATTGCTATCAGCAAAGCATCGGTTATATTTTATGTTTGATCTTTCTTGGTAAAGTTGAAGTATCGGTCGTATCTTCATATATTATTGTACTTTGTCAACAATTTTTTACGGGTTTCATGTTCAATCCTTATAAGATGAAAACTTTACCTTCAATTTTTCTACGAATTTCCGAAACTTTATCGTTCAAGACCGTTTCCAATGGGTTGATGTACACAATGTATGGACTGGATCGTTGCGATGATGAGACGACAATTTCATTCGTACTCGAAGATTTTGGAGTTAATGTGGATACAGTGTATAGTGATTCATATTTCATGATCATCAACATTCTCATTATTCGTCTTCTTGTATTCGTTTTGATGGTATACCATTTCAGTTCAATCTTTCGATCAAAAAATTTTGTCAAAGCTTCAATTTCTGATGCAATCAAATGTATTGATTATGGAAAGCTAACTGACCAGAAAGAAGAAGCAGTTGATTTATCTAAAACTGTTAGAATCAAAAAAGAAGATGAACTTGGTTTTGAACATTTTGCTCGCCATAAGATTGTTGTTGCATGGCGATCGCTTACTTTGTTTGGTACAAAATCAATATATGAAATTCGAACGATACAAAATGAAAGAAAGGATTCGAAGCAAATTCTAAAAAATTTGAATGGTCAATTCCGTTTTGGAACCCTTAATGCATTGATGGGACCATCTGGAGCCGGCAAAACTTCACTGCTAAATATTTTAATCGGAAAATCCAAAACTCGAATGAGCGATACAACTAAATTCTTCCTCAGTAAATTTACCCCCATACGTGTTTGTTATCTTACACAAGAAGTTTCAGGCCATTTGTTACCCGGTTTGACAGCCAAGCAGAGTCTGATTTATGCATCAATGTTAAAAAATGCATCAGAAAATGAAAATTTGAACCACGAAGCGATCGCCATGAAAATTCTCAAAGAATTAGATCTGGCTGATACGAAAGACACTTATGTGCAAAATTGTTCCGGTGGCCAAAGGAAACGTTTGGCGTTGGCTCTGGAACTCACATCGGTTCGGATGCCAAACTTGATTTGTATCGATGAACCAACAAGTGGTTTGGATTCAAGCTCGGCTCAAGTTGTCATATCATGTTTGCGACAAGTGGCTCACCACCACAACATTTGCATCATCACATCGATACATCAGCCAACCGCCGAAGTGTTTTCCATGTTTGATCAGGTTTATGTTCTAGCTAAAGGTGGCGTGTGTGTCTATTCGGGTCCACCATCCGATATGCGTCAACATTTGACCAAAGTTTCTGACCGAATGGATCAAGATGATATCTTTCCAGTTGAAGAGTTGATCAAGTATTCCTGTCTTAGCTATGACGATCCTTCTGTTCAGGATTTGGTTCGTTTGACCAATGAGAGAATCTTGAATGATAATCTTATTTTATTAAATGAAACCGTTCCTGTATTGGATGGTATACCAACTAATCGAAATCGTTTTTCATTAAAATCTGTTTGGGTATTGATACTACGTTATGCATTTTATGTTCGTGGCTATTTGTGGCAACTTCTGTGTATCATGTATTGCTTGTACTTGGGTTTTGGATCTGCATTGAATATAGTTTTTGACCACAACATGATTTATTATGATGGTTGTGTCGACTTATTGGATGATTTCAATAATACCTGCAATCAAACACAAGATAAAGATGATGAAGATTTCGATTTAAAAGCTTCATTCATTTATGCAGCTTTCACGAATAACATGTTATTTTTTCTGTTTTTATTACAAGCATCGATCATGTTTTCCAAAGAAATTATCTTTTTCCGTAATGAACATCAAAATGGTAAGGTGAACTCGATTAATTGATTTGTTTACTAAAAATTATTCTTTGCAATTTTATAGGTTGGTATAGCACAGGTGTATTTTATACGATGAAATTATTTACCGAAATCGTACCGCTAATACCCGCCATCATAATACTTGCATATATAAATGATATTTTCGAACCAATTCGACCAGGAATGTATTGGTGGATGTTATTTTATTTAATAATAAACGCATTAGTCGCACAAGCACTTGGTCATCTAATCGCTATACTCACATTGGGTAATTTTATTGCATTAATCATTGCGATGCCGGCAGTAGAAGTTATATCATTATTACTTGGTAATATAGCCACACCAGTTCGCCGTCTGCATTATATATTTCAATTTTTATCGTATTTCGCTCCAACACGATTTGGTTTAGAAGCCATTTTATTATTACAATATGGATTCGAACGTTGTCGCAAAAAAGAAGTTCAAAAAATTTTGCTTAAATTAAAAATGGAAGATAATGAACATGAATTTCATGAAACATATTTTCTATCGACAATTATTATGTTAATATTCAATATGCTATTCTATCGTATTATTGCCATTCTGGTTTTATTAATCAAAACGAATCGTTATGAAAATCGTCGTAGACGAGCAATGCGAATAGCCGATTCACATCAAAAATTGAAACCAGTAAATGTAATCATACCGGGTTTACAATGTCATCATGAAATGACAATCAAACAGTTTAAGGTTTAATTTTTTTTCCAACATTATTATGCAACCATAAATTAGTAATATAACAACAAAAACAGCAATTAAAAATAAAAATTTGAAAAATAACAAATTTACTTTTTCCGAAAAATTATTATGAACAACAAACATCGCGTTTATACATTATGGTTAGTTGATTTTTTGGTACAAATTTTTTTTCCACTTTTTTTTCTTGGAATTCATCCAACTCGACAGCCAAACAGTGATGTGATTTTATCGCAATAAAATTTAATATTAATATATATATGTTTATTGATCGAATTTATTAAAAAAAAAATTAAACTTTATTAATGAATGGATTTTTTTCTACCTCTCTCTCTCTTTTTTATTTCATCACAACAACATTTTGATTGATTCAATCATCATTGATAATTAATTAATCATTATTGATGGCCGCATCAACAGCGACACAATCACACACACACACAAGTCAACATTTAAAGATTTTTATTCAACGACAAAAACTAGTTTTTTCTTGATATTTTTTTTTTCATCATTATTATCAAATCAATGATCAATCATTAACATTAATCATTCCTTGGATACAATTATTTTTGTTTTGATCATGTGGTGATGATTGAGTTATGATGATGATGATGAATAAATCAATTTTCAATAGGAATTTCGGATTTGAACATTTATTCATATCAAGTTTCAATAGTGATGATGACGATGATGGTGATTGATACACCTTAATTTTATATGGTGGGTGATGTGATACTATAATATTTGAACAAATATTTTTGACCCTGAAAATAATAAGCTTATTTGTCTTTTTTTTCTCTCTCACAGAACCGTAACATAAATTCTTGATTCAAAAATATAATTTTTCATCATTGAAGCCATTTAACGTTCTTCGTAATCGTGTGTGTCATTCAAGACAATCATTTTTATATTTTTTAATCAATGATAAATTAGTGATGAAATCCTACTGTGAAAATTATTTCAACAATCTTCATTATTATCACTGTTATTATTGATGATAATTTGGAAAAGGAAACACATCCGTTCAGCTCTAATTTAATATAAAAATTTTTGAAAATAAAATATTAGTGTTTGATTCGTTAGTCAAACAATTGACGGTTCATTAACTGTGATCGACAAATGCAACAACATTATGAATAAAAACAATTTGAAATTGAATTGTGAACCTATGGCCGAGAATATTTCATTGGCATGGCGAAATTTATCGTATGAAGTGAGTGGCTGGTTCGGAAGTGGAAAAAAATCCATTCTAAAACGTTTGAATGGCCATGTCACTTATGGCAGTATGAATGCATTTCTGGGACCAAGTGGAGCAGGTAAAACTACAATGCTCAACTGCTTGAATGGTACACTTCGTAGTGGTATCACTTCGGACTCCGAGATTTATCTGAATCGTGCAGAACGTAATCAAACGCCAATTATTCGATTTGTCGAGCAACATGTTCACGAAACCATCATTGCTCGAATGACAGTTCGAGAAATACTTCACTATGCATTTCGTTTCAAGAATCCTATGAGCCAATGGAATCGAATGAATCAGCATATACTTTCAGTGTTGAATGAACTTTTACTCGATAAAACCATATTGGATAATCATTTCGAGAAATGTTCTGGCGGAGAACAACGACGTATTGCCATCGCTCAGGAATTGATGTCATTGGAAAAGCCGACTTTTTTGTTCGTCGATGAACCAACAACCGGCCTTGATAGTAATGCTGCTCTACTTGTTATGGAATGTTTACGAAAATTAGCTGGTAATAACCGATTGACTATTCTGGTTTCAATACATACCCCCAACTCAGACATTATGAGCTTATTCGATAAAGTGTTCATTTTGGCCAAAGGTGGTGTTTGCATCTATTCAGGCCCACCAAACGATTTACGTAACTATTTGAAACAAAAAATTGATGACGAATTTGACACAGAAAAGCCACCCATTGAAGAATATCTGGATATCGCTTGTGAAGGTTTGCATTTTGAATAAAATTATCAAACAATAATTTTTTTTCAATTCATAAATAAAAGGTATCAGTAATAAATTCGTACGTAAATTGGCTGATTCGACACTGATTGAACAACATGAAAAACTTGTGCCATTAGTTGATGATTTGCTATTCTTATCCAATGGTATACAACAACGACGTAAATGGTTTTCAATCGATGATCTCATGCTACAATTATATCGAATATTCAAGATTACATTCGTGGCTGAATATAAAACTTTCGTAATGCAATTTCCATTCTTTTTCTTTTTAATTGGAATCATGACCTTATTGTTTGATCCAAATATGACACATGCTGAAACATGTTATTCATTCGATGCTGATGACAGTGAATTCAATATTACATGTCGAGATAAATTACATGCCGAAGCATTAACAAATGATTATAAAATGAATCAATGGTATTGGCTTAATCTAACTGCTTTGGCTATCTTGTGTATGAGTAGTTTATTTTTTAATCCAATACTCAAAGTTTTTCGTAATGAACATCGTAATCGTGAGTATTTATCATGTTTGAAATTTCTTTATTGATGAATCTGATTTTTATTTTTATTTTTTTTTCACAGAATGGTATAGTCTTGGTACATTTTATTGGGCATTTATGATTGTACGGTTCATTGAATTAACTATTATGGCTGGATTCATTGGTTTAGTAGCATATTTTATTATCGATCACCTATATGTTGATCATTATCAAATGAATTGGAATCGTTTTGGGAATTACGTCTATTTTATTTGGCTTACAAATCTTTATCAACAAAGTATTGGATATTTTGTCTGTGTATTATTATTGGATAAAATTGAAGTATCAATCGTAACATCATATATGCTTGCTGTTAGTGAACAATTTTTCACCGGTTATATGTTTGATCCTTATAAGATGAAAAATATGCCATCAATTTTTTTACGTATGTCTGAATTATTATCATTCAAAACTGGTCCTAATGGATTAATGTATACAATGTATGGATTGGACCGGTGTGAAGATGAAAAGAAAATGTCATTCGTGCTTGAAGATTTTGGTGTTAATGTCGATACAGTATATAGTGATTCATATAAAATGATGATCAATATTGTCATCTTTCGTTCGCTGATATTCATTATGATGGTTTATCATTTTAGTGGTATTAATCGACCGAAGAATTTTATTAAATCATCAAAATCTCATCAAGATTCGATCAAAACTATTGATTATGGAAATTTATCCGATCAGAAAAATGAAATGATTGATTTATCCAAAGCTGTTCGAATCAAAAAAGAAGATGAAATTGGATTCGATGATTTTTCTAGAAATAAAATTATTGTTGCTTGGCGTTCCCTTACTTTGTTTGGAACTAAATCCATCTACGAGATTCGAAGTGTAGAAAATGAAGGACCAAATTCTAAACAAATTCTGAAAAATTTGAATGGTCAATTCCATTTTGGCACCATGAATGCATTAATGGGGCCATCTGGTGCCGGAAAAACTTCACTTTTGAATGTTCTTAACGGTCGGTCTAAAACTCGATTAAGCGATAATACCAAATTCTACCTCAGTAAATTTACTCCCATACGTGTTTGTTATCTTACGCAAGAAGTTTCAGGCCATTTGCTACCCGGTTTGACTGCCAAACAGAGTTTGACTTATGCATCAATGTTGAAAAATGCTATGGAAAACGAAAAATTGGACCATGAAGCGATCGCTATGAAAATTCTCAAAGAATTAGATCTGGTCGATACGAAAGACACTTATGTGCAAAATTGTTCGGGTGGTCAACGGAAACGCTTGGCGCTTGGTCTGGAACTCACATCGATTCGGATGCCTAACTTGATTTGTATTGATGAACCAACAAGTGGTTTGGATTCTAGTTCAGCTCAAGTTGTCGTGTCATGTTTGCGACAAGTGGCTCACCATCACAACATTTGCATCATCACATCGATTCATCAGCCAACCGCCGAAGTGTTTTCCATGTTTGATCAGATTTATGTCCTAGCTAAAGGTGGTGTATGTGTCTATTCGGGTCCACCATCTGATATACGTCAGCATTTGACCAAAGTTTCAGACCGAATGGATCAAGATGATATCTTTCCAGTTGAAGAGTTGATCAAGTATTCTTGTCTCAGTTATGAAGATCCTTCTGTTCAGGATTTAGTAACCTCTTCAAATGAAAAAATGTTGACTCAAGATGTAATCATATCAGAGGAAACGACCCCTGTCATGGATGGTATACCAACAAATAGATATCGTTTCTCAATGAAATCTGTTTGGATATTGATGATACGATATGTATTCTATGTTCGTGGTTATTTATGGCCAATTCTTGCTCTAATGTATGGTCTTTATCTATGTTTTGGAATAACAATGAATATTTTATTTGATCATAATATGATATTCATCGATGGTTGTGTAAATCTGGAAGATGAATTCAATAGTACTTGTAATCAAACACAGGAGAAAGATGATGAAGATTTTCATCTAGAAGCATCATTCATTTATGTTGCATTTAGTTATGGAATGTTTTTATTTCTTGTATTGGTTCAATCGGCCATAATGTTTTCGAAAGAAATTGTATTCTTTTGTAATGAACATAGAAACGGTAAGAAAATCACCATTTAAGAAATGTGGAAATTTTTCTAATCATTTTTAAATGTTTTTTTGTTATATTAAAACAAATTAGGATGGTATAGTACTGGTGCATTTTATTTCATGAAAATGTGGGTAGAATTATTACCACAGATTCCAATCTTTCTATTGTATACGCTTTTGATCGATATCTATGAACCTGTACGGCCGGGAATATATTTTTCCATTGCATTCTATATAATTCTTGGCGCTGCTGCCTATCAATCTGTTGGTCATCTACTTTCGATTGTTACATATGGTGAATTTGTGGCATTAGTAATTTCAATACCAGGTGTTGAGGCGATATTTTTGGCGGTCAGTAATCTTGGTACACCTGTGAAACGTTTACATTATTTGCTACAATTTATATCGATTTTTGCACCAACACGTTTCGGCATTGAAGCTATGCTTCTCTTACAATATGGATTCGATCGTTGTCGCCGTAAAGAAGTACAGAAAATTCTTTTCCAATTGAAAATGGAAAATGATGAACATGAACATCATACTACGTTTCTTATACAAACACTTATCATGTTGATATTTAATTTACTATTTTATCGTTTAGTATCATTATTATTGATGATAATCAAATGTAATCATGTTGATGATCGCAGAAAACGTGCATTGAAAATTGCTGATTTTCATCAAAAACATCTGATTGAACCATCCAATGTTTTTATACCCGGTTTACAATGTGACAGTGAATTAATTGTCAAAAGAATTCAAGTATAACAACTGTTATTGTCATTTTCTCTCTCTCTCTTTCTCTAAAAAAAATTCCCATGATAATTTAATATACTCATACTCATTTTTCAATTAAAAGGCAAAAATTTAATAATAAGAAAAAAAATTGAATTAAAATCAATATTACACATGTGTCGTCATCACTTTCATTTTCTCTCTGAATTAATTAATTAATTAATAATTAATGGTCATTATCACACCGTTGATCATTTATGTATATATGATGATTAAGTGGTAATAAACAGTTTTTGTTTTTGTTGTTTGTTTTCTTGTTCTAATCTTGGCTATTTTTTTTTTTTTTTTTTGTTATGGAATATATTTTTTTTTATCTCTTTCACGCATACACAATGATGATTATCGAATTTTTTTTTTATTATTTCATTAGGTTGCACTTTACGAATAAATTCTTCTTCTTGACGATAAGCCGATGAAATGACCAGTACAATCGTTTTTGTTTATATCGAAAGAATTTTTTTTTTCACATTTCCAATTCGTTTTCGTATGGAAAAATTTTCAGTTGATATATAAAGGTAAGATTTGAAAATAAAATCGAAATTAACCATCATCATCATCATCATCATCATGTATGATTTCAATAGAAATGACAATCATTCTAAATGTGAATTATCATCATTTGTATTTGAATTACAAGAAGAAAATGTTGACAAAAAAAATCTTCAATTACGATTGGCAAAAAATATTTCATTAGCATGGCGTAATCTATCCTATGAAGTTAATGTCGGTTGGTTTGCTAGTGTTGGTGGTTTTGGTGAACGAAAAACCATTCTGAAACGCTTAAATGGACATCTTAATTATCATAGTTTGAATGCATTTCTTGGTCCAAGTGGTGCCGGTAAAACAACAATGCTTAACTGTCTGAATGGTACACATTCAAATGGTATGACAATTGATTCAGAAATTTATCTAAATCAACATGATGATGTGCCGAATATCCGTTATGTTGAACAACATATACATGAAAATATTATCGGTAAAATGTGTGTTGGTCAGATATTATATTATGCATTTCGTTTCAAAAATGATGCAAAATATTGGAATCAAATGAATCAACATATACTTTCGGTGTTGAATGAACTTTTACTCGATAAAACCATATTGGATAATCATTTTGAGAAATGTTCCGGTGGTGAACAACGACGTATTGCCATCGCACAGGAATTAATGTCATTGGAAAAGCCAACGTTTTTGTTCGTCGATGAACCAACAACCGGACTCGATAGTAATGCTTCAGCATTGGTCATGCAATGTTTACGAAAATTAGCTGATAAAAATCGATTGACTATTCTGGTTTCAATACATACACCAAATTCAGACATTATGACTTTATTCGATAAAGTGTTTATTCTGGCAAAAGGTGGCGTTTGCATCTATTCTGGACCACCAGAAAATATGCGTGATAATCTTAAACAAAAAATTAATATCGAATTCAACATTGAAAAGCCACCGATTGAAGAATATTTGGAATTAGCTTGTAAAGGTTTGATTGTAATTTTAGTATCATTTAAAAAAAAATTTCATTTTTCTTTCACTAATTCTAGGCATTGCAAATGATCATGTTTGTCAATTAGCTGATTCAACTTTGTACGAAGAACATGAAAAATTAGATCCATTAGTTGATAATCTGAAATTCATGTCCAATGGTATTCGACAACGACGAAAACAATTCCTATTTGGTGATCTATTATTACAAATATATCGAATGTTTATAATAACATTCATCGATGAATACAGGAATTTCTTGATGCAATTTCCATTTTTTTTCTTCATAATCAATTTTATTGCAACATTTTTCGATCAAAAAATAACACATGCTGAAACATGTTATTCATTCGAAGCTGATGATGGTGATTTCAATAATTTAACATGTCGCGATAGATTACATGCTGAAGCATTGACCAATGAATATCGGATAAATCAATGGCTATATATGACATTGGTATCATTAAGTATAATGTGTATGAGTAGCTTATTTTTCAATCCAATACTCAAAGTATTTCGTAATGAACATCGTAATAGTAAGTATTCGTTGACTTTGAAATTTCATTATTGAATTTGATTTTTAAACTTTTTTTTTTTAATTTACAGAATGGTATAGCCTCGGTACTTTCTATTGGTCATTCACTGTTGTACGATTTATTGAATTAACTATAATTGCTTGTCTTATCAGTTTGGTTGCATATTTTGCCATCGATCATCTTTATATTGATCATTATCAAATGAATTGGAATCGTTTTGCAAATTTCTTCTATTTTATATGGCTCAATAATTTATATCAACAAAGTTTAGGCTACTTAATTTGTTTGATATTTTTAGAAAAAATTGAAGTTGCCATTTTAACATCATATATATTGGTTATCTGTGAACAATTTTTCACCGGTTATATGTTTAATCCATATAGAATGAAGAATATGCCGTCGATATTTCTAAAAATTTCAGAATTATTATCATTTAAAACATGTCCAAATGGATTAATGTATACAATATATGGATTGGATAGATGTGATGATAAAGTTGATCAAACAAAAGTATCGTTTGTACTTGAAGATTTTGGTGTTAACGAACAAACCGTATATGAAGATTCATATTTTATGATCATCAACATTGTCATCATTCGTTTTCTTGTATTCATTTTGATGGTATATCATTTTAGCGGAATCTTTCGATCAAAAAGATTTCAAAAATCTGAAAATTCCGAAGCAATCAAATCAATTGATTATGGAGATTGTTCTAGCATGAATGAAAATATTGAAAATCTTCACAAAACTGTTCGAATCAAAAAGGAAGATGAACTTGGTTTTGAACATTTTTCTCGACATAAAATTATTGTTGCTTGGCGATCGCTTACTTTGTTTGGAACTAAATCCATCTACGAAATTCGAAGTGTAGAAAAAGAAGGACCAAATTCTAAACAAATTCTGAAAAATTTGAATGGTCAATTCCATTTTGGCACCATTAATGCATTGATGGGGCCGTCTGGTGCCGGAAAAACTTCACTTTTAAATGTTCTTAACGGCCGGTCTAAAACTCGATTAAGCGATAATACCGAATTCTTTCTCAGTAAATTTACGCCCATACGTGTTTGTTATCTTACACAAGAAGTTTCTGGCCATTTGCTACCCGGTTTGACAGCCAAACAGAGTTTGATTTATGCATCAATGTTGAAAAATGCCATGGAAAAAGAAAAATTGAATCATGAAGCAATCGCTATGAAAATTCTTAAAGAATTAGATCTGACTGATACAAAAGACACTTATGTGCAAAATTGTTCCGGTGGTCAACGGAAACGTTTGGCACTGGCTCTGGAACTGACATCGATGCGTATGCCAAACTTGATTTGTATCGATGAACCAACAAGTGGTTTGGATTCAAGTTCAGCTCAAGTTGTCATGTCATGTTTGCGACAAGTGGCTCACCATCACAACATTTGCATCATCACATCGATCCATCAGCCAACTGCCGAAGTGTTTTCCATGTTTGACCAGGTTTATGTTCTAGCTAAAGGTGGTGTATGTGTCTATTCGGGTCCACCATCCGATATACGTCAACATTTGACCAAAGTTTCAGACCGAATGGATCAAGATGATATCTTTCCAGTTGAAGAGTTGATCAAATATTCTTGTTTCGGATATAAAAATGAATTCGTAAAAATGTTGGCTCGTTCATCAAGCGAAACAATTCTAACAAAAGATTCATCTTTATCTGATGAAACTACACCCGTATTGGATGGTATACCTACAAATCATAATCGTTTTACATTAAAATCCGTTGGTGTATTAATACTTCGTTATATACATTATATTCATGGTTATCTATGGCAAAGTATATGTATGATGTATGGTCTATATCTATTTTTTGCTATATCACTAACTATCATATTTGATCATAATATGATTTATCAGGCACCATCACAACATTTGCATCATCACATCGATCCATCAGCCAACTGCCGAAGTGTTTTCCATGTTTGACCAGGTTTATGTTCTAGCTAAAGGTGGTGTATGTGTCTATTCGGGTCCACCATCCGATATACGTCAACATTTGACCAAAGTTTCAGACCGAATGGATCAAGATGATATCTTTCCAGTTGAAGAGTTGATCAAATATTCTTGTTTCGGATATAAAAATGAATTCGTAAAAATGTTGGCTCGTTCATCAAGCGAAACAATTCTAACAAAAGATTCATCTTTATCTGATGAAACTACACCCGTATTGGATGGTATACCTACAAATCATAATCGTTTTACATTAAAATCCGTTGGTGTATTAATACTTCGTTATATACATTATATTCATGGTTATCTATGGCAAAGTATATGTATGATGTATGGTCTATATTTATTTTTTGCTATATCACTAACTATCATATTTGATCATAATATGATTTATCATGATGGTTGTGTAAGCTTAGAAGATGAATTCAATAGTACCTGTAATCAAACACAAGAAAAAGATGATGAAGATTTTGATCTACAAGCATCATTCACATATATTTGTTGGTCATATGGTCTATTTATATTTTTGGTTCTACTTCAAGCTTCAATTATGTTTTCAAAGGAAATTGTTTACTTTTTCAATGAACAACGAAATGGTAAGTGATAATGTTCATTTCATCATCAGATATATAATAATTTAAATTTATTATTCATTTGTATACAGGTTGGTACAGTACTGGTTCATTTTATTTCATGAAAATATTTACAGAACTAATACCTATAATTCCGGTCATTTTCATTTATGGTTATATTATCAATATATATGAACCGATATTACCGAACATTTATTATCCAATAATTTTTTATCTAATTCTTGGCACATTAGCTGCACAAGCCCTTGGACATTTGATTGCCATATTTACATTAGGTGAATTTATTGCCTTAATCATATCGATACCAGCAATACAGACTGTAGCATTATTGTTCAGCAATATGGCAACACCAGTTCGACGTTTACATTATTTATTTCAATTTTTATCAAATTTTTCACCAACACGTTTCGGTATTGAAGCATTTTCATTATTACAATATGGATTCAATCGTTGTCGTCGTAAACAGGTACAGAAAATTTTATACTTATTAGGAATGGAAAATGATGAACATGAACATCATTCATCATTTCTAATGAATACGATTATCATGTTAACATTTATCGTCCTTTTCTATCGTATATTGGCATTATTATTGTTGATAATGAAAACAAATCGATATGAATGTCGTCGAAAACGTGCACAAAATATTGCCAATTATCATCGAAATCTTAAATCATCCAATGTATTCATACCTGGTCTACAATGTCATAATGATCTGATTATTCGAAGAATTCAAATTTGATTCTTTTTTTTCTCTCTCTCTCAAAAAATGTACTTTTGTTTGTACTAACAAGTACAATTTAGATTAACTATTCGATTCGTTTTTCTTTTCAAAATTTATAATTTTAACCTTGGAATTTTAATTTAGAAATATGAAACAAAATTGACAAAAAAAAAATTGATAATCACAGTCAATGAATGAAACCAGAAAACATGCTGTTTCCATGAATGAGATGATGATTTGACCATTCAGTATAAACAAAGAATGATTGATGAAAGAATTTATTTATCAGTAAAGAAAAAAGAAAATCAATAATCATAAATTATCATAAATCATAAGTTTTGTACATTTTATTTCACATGTATATAAGATCAGCCAAAAACTTTTAGTATCATTCATTGCAACGTAATCACGTATTGAATAGTGTCAATCATCATTAATTTCAAACTATTTTATCACTGTGTTTTATCATCACATTGATTTATATTATCTTTGATTTACGAATTCCGAATATGAACATTTATATATATATATATATGCTATGCGAATATGGCAACAAACAAACAAAAAAATTGTTGTCAATCAAACAGATATAAAAATACAACATATGAACAAAAAAAAAAGTGTATGGCTGTACAATATATTTTTTTTTCTTTGCTTTTTTTTCGATTTAAAGAGATTATCATGACCATGAAAAGAAATGATATTCACCTAAATAATCAATGAATCTATCCTTGAACAAAAAGAAAATAAAAAAAAACTATCCAATATTAGAAAAGGTATATACGATGCAGAAAGAAAAAATTTAACATAGATTCTTTCATATATTAAATAACCAGTTAGTGTAGAAAAAAAATTTTTTTTTCTGGCTAGTTATATAGTTTAATAATAATAAATTAATTTAATAACGTTGAATTTTAAACATTGGCGCCATTTTCTCTAGACATCATCATTCATTTATCGACAATCTATTTTCTATACGCATGATGCTTATTTCACATCTGTTTTTTTTTAGTGATAAATTTTTCCAGCAAAATACATACATACATACACATTCAATTAATTCAACAAGCTTAACAACCAGTTAAGAGGCATAGCTTTATTTAAAAATTGTTTAAACATTTTTTTTCATAGTGATCATCGTTTATTTTTATTGATGATATAATTTTGAAAAGGAAACACATCCGTTCAGCTCTAATTTAATATAAAAATTTTTGAAAATATAATATTAGTGTCTGATTCATTAGTTAAAACAATTGAAGGTTCATTAACTGTGATCGACAAATGCAACAACATTATGAATAAAAACAATGGACCATTGAATTGTGAACCTATGGCCGAGAATATTTCATTGGCATGGCGAAATTTATCGTATCAAGTGAGTGGCTGGTTCGGCAGCGGAAAAAAATCCATTCTGAAACGTTTGAATGGCCATGTCACTTATGGCAGTATGAATGCGTTTCTGGGTCCAAGTGGAGCTGGTAAAACCACAATGCTCAACTGCTTGAATGGTACACTTCGTAGTGGTATTACTTCGGACTCCGAAATTTATCTGAATCGTGAGGAACGTAATCAAACGCCAGTCATTCGATTTGTTGAGCAACATGTTCATGAAACCATCATTGCTCGAATGACAGTTAGAGAAATACTTCACTATGCATTTCGTTTCAAGAATCCTATGAGCCAATGGAATCGAATGAATCAGCATATACTTTCTGTGTTGAATGAACTTTTACTCGATAAAACCATATTGGATAATCATTTCGAGAAATGTTCTGGCGGAGAACAACGACGTATTGCCATCGCTCAGGAATTGATGTCATTGGAAAAGCCGACTTTTTTGTTCGTCGATGAACCAACAACCGGTCTCGATAGTAATGCTGCTTTATTAGTCACACAATGTCTTCGCAAATTAGTCAACAATAGCCGATTGACCATTCTGGTATCAATCCATACACCAAATTCAGACACATTAGCTTTATTCGACAAAGTATTTGTTCTTGCCAAAGGAGGTGTTTGCATCTATTCCGGACCACCAAACGACTTGCGTAACAATTTGAAACAAAAAATCGACGATGAATTCGACACGGATAAGCCAACCATCGAAGAATATCTGGATATCGCTTGTGAAGGTATGTAAGAGAATTATTAAATCTATAATATATAGATAAATGAATAACATTAAGAAAAACCTTTTCGTTAGCTATCGGAAGTAAAAATGTTCGAAAATTAACCGATTCAACCTTGATTGAACAACATACTCAATTGGATCCATTGGTTGATGATTTAAAATTCTTACAGAATGGCATAAGGCAAGGACGAAAAAAATTTTCATCAGTAGATTTTATTTTGCAATTCTATCGGTTAATGAAAATCACATTTGTGGCTGAATATCAAAATTTTTTGATACAATATCCATTCTTTTTTTTTCTTATCACGGTGATAGCATCGTTTTATGAAACGAATATGACACATGCAAATGTTTGTTATTCATTAGAATCAGATGATTATTTATCATTAAATATGACTTGTCGTGAAAAATTGTATGATGAAGCCCTAACAGATGATTATCGTATGCATCAGATGTTTGACATTGTATTAATCAGTTTAAGCGTACTTGGTATGAGTTGTCTATTTTTTCATCCAATTCTTAAAGTTTTTCGTAATGAACATCGAAATCGTAAGTAAAAAAATGTTGAACCATTTTTTTCTTAATTTAATAATCATTTTGATTCAAAAAAAAAAACAGAATGGTACAGTCTTGGAACATTTTTTTGGGCATTCCTTATTGTGCGCTGCATCGAATTGACTATATTGACTGGTTTTATCGGAATGATCAGTTATTTTTCTATTGACCATCTTTACGTAGATAATAATCAATTAAATTGGAATCGTTTTGGAAATTTTCTCTACTTTGTTTTGCTTAATAATTTTCAACAACAAAGCATTGGTCATCTTTTATGTTTAATCTTTCTTGGCCAATTCGAAGTTTCAATTGTTTCCTCATACATTGTTATAACATGTCAACAATTCTTTACTGGTTACATGTTCAATCCTTATAAAATGAAAAATATCCCTTCCATTTTTCTACAAATGTCAGAAATTCTCTCGTTCAAGACCGTTCCCAATGGGCTAATGTATACGATGTATGGACTGGATCGTTGCGATGATGAGACGACAATTTCATTCGTACTCGATGATTTTGGAGTTAATGTGGATACAGTGTATAGTGACTCATATTTCATGATCATCAACATTGTCATCATTCGTTTTCTTGTATTCGTTTTGATGATATACCATTTCAGTGGAATCTTTCGATCAAAAAGATTTGTCAAAGCTTCAATTTCTGATGCAATCAAATGTATTGATTATGGAAAGCTAACTAACCAGAAAGAAGAAGCAATTGATTTATCTAAAACTGTTCGAATTAAAAAGGAAGATGAACTTGGTTTTGAAGATTTTGCTCGCCATAAGATTGTTGTTGCTTGGCGATCGCTTACTTTGTTTGGTACAAAATCCATCTACGAAATTCGAAGTGTAGAAAAAGAAGGACCGAATTCTAAACAAATTCTGAAAAATTTGAATGGTCAATTCCGTTTTGGCACCCTTAATGCATTGATGGGACCATCTGGAGCCGGCAAAACTTCACTGCTCAATATTTTAATCGGGAAATCAAAGACACGATTGAGCGACTCGACCGTGTTTTATCTCAGTAAATTTACTCCCATAAAAGTTTGTCATCTTAAGCAAGAAGTTTCCAGTCACTTATTACCCGGTTTGACAGCCAAACAGAGTTTGACTTATGCATCAATGTTAAAAAATACTATGGAAAACAAAAACTTGGATCATGAAGCAATCGCTATGAAAATTCTCAAAGAATTAGATCTGGTTGATACGAAAGACACTTATGTGCAAAATTGTTCAGGTGGCCAAAGGAAACGTTTGGCACTGGGTCTGGAACTCACATCGATTCGGATGCCAAACTTGATTTGTATCGATGAACCAACAAGTGGTTTGGATTCAAGCTCAGCTCAAGTTGTCGTGTCATGTTTGCGACAAGTGGCTCACCATCACAACATTTGCATCATCACATCGATTCATCAGCCAACCGCCGAAGTGTTTTCCATGTTTGATCAGGTTTATGTTCTAGCTAAAGGTGGCGTGTGTGTCTATTCGGGTCCACCATCTGATATACGTCAGCATTTGACCAAAGTTTCAGACCGAATGGATCAAGATGACATCTTTCCAGTTGAAGAATTGATCAAGTATTCCTGTCTTAGCTATGAAGTTCCTTCTGTTCAGGATTTGGTTCGTTTGACCAATGAGAGAATCTTAAATGATAATCTTATTTTATTAAATGAAACCGTTCCTGTATTGGATGGCATACCGACTAATCAAAATCGTTTTTCATTAAAATCTGTCTGGGTGTTGATACTACGTTATGCATTTTATGTTCGTGGATATTTGTGGCAAATTCTTGTCTTAATGTATTGCCTATATATATCATTTGGTATTTCAATTTATTATATTTTCGACACAAACATGATATTTCGTGATGGCTGTGTAAACATGGAAGATGAACTCAATAATACTTGTAATCAAACTCAAGAAAAAGAAGATGAAGATTTTGATCTTCAAGCTTCATTCATTTATATTTGTTTCGGACAATCAATGATGTTTTTCATAGTTTTATTACAAACGTCAATCATGTTCTCGAAGGAAATTGTCTATTTTCGTAATGAACATCAAAATGGTGTGTGTTTTATAATGTCAGATTCTTTTAATTCTTTTCCATTTAAAATTTTTTTCATTTTATAGGCTGGTATAGTACTGGTGCATTTTATTCTATGAAAATGTTAATAGAATTTTTACCATTGATACCTGCGCTAACAATCTTTACATATCTGATTGACATTTATGAACCCATTCATCCTGGAATGTTTTATTGGCTATTGTTCTATTCATTGATGGGTGCTTTAGCTGCACAGGCATTTGGACATTTGGTCGCTATAATATCGTTAGGCAAATTTGTTGCATTAATCATATCGATACCTGCCATTGAAGTTATATCATTATTAATCAGTAATATGGGCACACCGATTAGACGTCTACATTATATATTTCAATTTCTTTCGAATTTTGCGCCAACTCGATTCACAATTGAAGCCATTTTATTATTACAATATGGATTTGATCGTTGTCGTAGGAAAGAAGTGCAGAAAATTTTGTTGAAATTCAAAATGGAAGAAAATGAACATGAATTTCATGGAACATTTTTCTATTATACGATTATTATGCTTATATTTAACATAATAATCTATCGTGTGATTGCATTATTATTATTATTGGCAAAAACCAATCGTTATGAAAATCGTCGTAAACGGGCAATGCAAATAGCCGATTCACATCAAAAACTGAAACCAGTGAATGTAATCATACCTGGTTTACAATGTCATCATGAAATGACAATCAAACAGTTTAAGGTTTAATTTTTTTCCAACATTATTATGCAACCATAAATTAGTACAACAACAAAAACAGAAATTAAAAATAAAAATTTGATAAAAAACAAATTCACTTTTTCCAAAGAATTATTATGTACAACAAACATGACGTCTATGTATCATGATTAATTGGTTTTTTTCCACTTCGTTTTCCTTGGAATTCCTTCGACTGTATAACCAACATCGAAAGATTTTCATTCAACGACAAAAAACTATAGTTTTTTCTTTATTTTTTTTTCTTCGTCATTGAATATCATTATTATCATGATGAAGAATAAATTAATTTTTAAAATGAATTTGGTATTAGTACATTTATTCATCTTCTTCAAGTTTAAATAGTGATGATGACGATGATGGTGATTGATACACCTTAATTTTATAGGATGGGTGATGTTATACTATAAAATGAAAACAAAATTTTTCCATATTTTTGACCTTGAAAATTATAAGCTTATTTCTCTTTTTTTTCTCTTATAAAAGCGTAAGATAAATTGCTGATTTGCTTCATTTAACGTTCTTCATAATCGAGTGTGTGATATACGCATGAAAATCATTTTTATATTTTTTTAATCAATAATAAATTACTGATGAAATTATACTGTGAAAATTATTTCGACAATTTTCATTATTATCACTGTTATTATTGATGATATAATTTGGAAAAGGAAGCACATCCGTTCAGCTCTAATTTATATAAAATTTTTTTTTTGAAATATAATATTAGTGTCTGATTGATTAGTCAAACAATTGAAGGTTCATTAACTGTGATCGACAAATGCAACAACATTATGAATAAAAACAATTTGAAATTGAATTGTGAACCTATGGCCGAGAATATTTCATTGGCATGGCGAAATTTATCGTATGAAGTGAGTGGCTGGTTCGGAAGTGGAAAAAAATCCATTCTAAAACGTTTGAATGGCCATGTCACTTATGGCAGTATGAATGCGTTTCTGGGTCCAAGTGGAGCCGGGAAAACCACAATGCTCAACTGCTTGAATGGTACACTTCATAGTGGTATCACTTCGGACTCCGAGATTTATCTGAATCGTGCGGAGCGTAATCAAACGCCCATTATTCGATTTGTTGAGCAACATTTTCACGAAACCATCATTGCTCGAATGAGCGTTCGAGAAATCTTGCACTATGCATTTCGTTTCAAGAATCCAATGAGCCAATGGAATCAAATGAATCAACATATACTTTCTGTGTTGAATGAACTTTTACTCGATAAAACCATATTGGACAATCATTTCGAGAAATGTTCTGGCGGAGAACAACGACGTATTGCTATCGCTCAGGAATTGATGTCATTAGAAAAGCCGACCTTTTTGTTCGTCGATGAACCAACAACCGGCCTTGATAGTAATGCTGCTCTACTTGTTATGGAATGTTTACGAAAATTAGCTGGTAATAATCGATTGACTATTCTGGTTTCAATACACACCCCCAACTCAGACATTATGAGCTTATTCGACAAAGTATTTGTTCTTGCCAAAGGAGGTGTTTGCATCTATTCTGGACCACCAAATGACTTGCGTAACAATTTGAAACAAAAAATCAACGATGAATTCGACACGGAGAAGCCACCCATTGAAGAATATCTGGATATCGCTTGTGAAGGTATGAACTAGAATTATTAAATCTAAATAGTTAAATGAATAACTTTAAGAAAAATCTTTTCGTTAGCTATCGGAAGTAAAAATGTTCGAAAATTAACCGATTCAACCTTGATTGAACAACATGCTCAATTGGATCCATTGGTTGATGATTTGAAATTCTTACAGAATGGTATCAGACAAGGACGTAAACGTTTCTGTTGGGGAGACTTAATCTTACAATTTCATCGGATATTCAGAATAACATTCATAGCCGAATATAAAAGCTTTTTAATGCAATTTCCATTTTTTTTGTTCGTAATCATGTTGGTCACAACGTTTTTTGAATCGAAAATGACTCATGCTGAAACTTGTTATTCATTCAAATCGGATGAAAGTGCTCAAAATATTACCTGTAGTAATAAGTTATACGCAAAAGCATTGGTTGATGATTTTGAAATGAATCAATGGTTTTTCGCCATGCTCATCAGCGTAAGCATAGTTTCTATCAATAGTATGTCCTTCGATCATATATTAAAAGTATTTCGAAATGAACATCGTAATCGTAAGTTTGTCCGACTTTAAAAACTATTCATAATAATAATAATATGATCATCATTTGAAATTACAGAATGGTATGGTCTTGGTACATTCTTTTTCCCATTTATGATTTTACGTAATATCCAATTGGCTATAATTACCGTTTTTATTAATACAGTCGCATATTTCTCTATTGATCATCTATATGTTGACAATTATCAAATGAATTGGAATCGATTTGGTCATTATTTTTATTTTAGTTATTTATATAATTGCTTTCATCAAAGCATCGGCTATATTTTATGTATGATCTTTCTTGGCAAAGTTGAAGTATCGGTCGTATCTGCCTATATTATTGTAATTTTTCAACAATTTTTTACTGGTTTCATGTTCAATCCTTATAAGATGAAAACTTTACCTTCAATTTTTCTACGAATTTCCGAAACTTTATCGCTCAAGGCCATTCCCAATGGGCTAATTTATACGATGTATGGGCTTGATCGTTGCGATGATGAGACGACAATTTCATTCGTACTCGAAGATTTTGGAATTAATGTGAATGCAGTTTATAGTGATTCATATTTCATGTTCATCAACAGTGTCTGCATTCGTTTACTTGTATTGGTTTTGATGGTATACAATTTCAGTGGAATCTTTCGATCAAAAAGATTTGTCAAAGCTTCAATTTCCGATGTAATCAAATGTATTGATTATGGAAAGCTAACTGACCAGAAAGAAGAAGCAGTTGATTTATCTAAAACTGTTAGAATCAAAAAAGAAGATGAACTTGGTTTTGAACATTTTGCTCGCCATAAGATTGTTGTTGCATGGCGATCGCTTACTTTGTTTGGTACAAAATCAATATATGAAATTCGAACGGTACAAAATGAAAGAAAGGATTCGAAGCAAATTCTAAAAAATTTGAATGGTCAATTCCGTTTTGGAACTCTTAATGCATTGATGGGACCATCTGGAGCCGGCAAAACTTCACTGCTCAATATTTTAATCGGGAAATCAAAGACACGATTGAGCGATACAACTAAATTCTTCCTCAGTAAATTCACGCCCATACGTGTTTGTTATCTTACACAAGAAGTTTCAGGCCATTTGCTACCCGGTTTGACAGCCAAACAGAGTTTGATTTATGCATCAATGTTGAAAAATGCTATGGAAAACGAAAACTTGGATCATGAAGCAATCGCTATGAAAATTCTCAAAGAATTAGATCTGGTCGATACGAAAGACACTTATGTGCAAAATTGTTCCGGTGGTCAACGGAAACGTTTGGCACTGGGTCTGGAACTCACATCGGTTCGGATGCCAAACTTGATTTGTATCGATGAACCCACAAGTGGTTTGGATTCAAGTTCAGCTCAAGTTGTCATATCATGTTTGCGACAAGTGGCTCACCACCACAACATTTGCATCATCACATCGATACATCAGCCAACCGCCGAAGTGTTTTCCATGTTTGATCAGGTTTATGTTCTAGCTAAAGGTGGCGTGTGTGTCTATTCGGGTCCACCATCCGATATGCGTCAACATTTGAACAAAGTTTCTGACCGAATGTATCAAGATGATATCTTTTCAGTTGAAGAGTTGATCAAGTATTCCTGTCTTAGCTATGAAGATCCTTCTGTTCAGGATTTGGTTCGTTTGGCCAATGAGAGAATCTTGAATGATAATCTTATTTTATTAAATGAAACCGTTCCTGTATTGGATGGAATACCGACTAATCGAAATCGTTTTTCATTAAAATCTGTTTGGGTATTGATACTACGTTATGCATTTTATGTTCGTGGATATTTGTGGCAAATTCTGTGTATTATGTATTGTCTGTACATTGGTTTTGGGTTTGCTATGAATATTGTTTTCGACCACAACATGATTTATTATGATGGTTGTGTCGATTTATTGGATGATTTCAATAATACTTGTAATCAAACACAGGATAAAGATGATGAAGATTTCGATTTAAAAGCTTCATTCATTTATGCAGCTTTCGTGAATTCATTGTTATTTTTTCTGTTTTTATTACAAGCATCGATCATGTTTTCCAAAGAAATTATCTTTTTCCGTAATGAACATCAAAATGGTAAGGTGAACTCGATTAATTGATTTGTTTACTAAAAATTATTCTTTGCAATTTTATAGGTTGGTATAGCACAGGTGTATTTTATACGATGAAATTATTTACCGAAATCATACCGCTAATACCCGCCATCATAATACTTGCATATATAAATGATATTTTCGAACCAATTCGACCAGGAATGTATTGGTGGATGTTATTTTATTTAATAATAAACGCATTAGTCGCACAAGCACTTGGTCATTTAATCGCTATACTCACATTGGGTAATTTTATTGCATTAATCATTGCGATGCCGGCAGTACAAGTTATATCATTATTACTTAGTAATATAGCCACACCAGTTCGTCGTCTGCATTATATATTTCAATTTTTATCGTATTTCGCTCCAACACGATTTGGTTTAGAAGCCATTTTATTATTACAATATGGATTCGAACGTTGTGGGAAAAAAGAAGTTCAAAAAATATTGCTTAAATTAAAAATGGAAGATAATGAACATGAATTTCATGAAACATATTTTCTATCGACAATTATCATGTTGATATTCAATATGCTATTCTATCGTATTATTGCCATTCTGGTTTTATTAATCAAAACGAATCGTTATGAAAATCGACGACGTCGTGCCATGAAAATACAGGATGCATATGAAAAATTAAAACCATCAAACGTAATCATACCCGGTTTACAATGTCATCATGAATTGATCATCAAACAAATTCAGGTGTAATTTTTATTCCAACATTATTATGCAACCATAAATTAGTAATTAGTAATATAACAACAAAAACAGTAATTAAAAATAAAAATTTGAAAAATAACAAATTTACTTTTTC